TAATTACACAAAACACTAAAAATAATTTATAACTTTGAACATAACCTGTCTTCAGAAAGGACAACATATAAATAACCCCTCGGGCACAGCTAATTGATATACTTCATTGGCAGCATATTCAGTAATGATTTTCTCAAACAGCAAATATCACTGATCTCATATACATGTAGACCAATACACATAATCATCCAGATGCGATCTTGCTTTTCAACCAACTTTGTTCTCAGAGACGCAAACAAAACATGTGCAACCAACAGCGCGTGTAGTTGAGCTATTCCTTCATAGACGGACGCTCACAACGATCCAAGTCAGCAAACGTAGAATGAATGTTTACACCCTAAAAACTACCTAGTCTGCAAGATGAAATTTCGTCGTTTTTTTGACGTTTTTAAGTTTTTTAGGTTTTTTACACAATATCCGTACAGCACGTGTAAAAAACCCATAAAACGTCAAAAAAACCTATAAAATGTCATCTTGCAGACTAGGTAGTTTTTAGGGTGCTCACTTGGATCGTTGTAAGCGTCCGTCTATGAAGGAATAGCTCAACTACACGCACTGTTGGTTGCACATGTTTTGTTTGCGTCTCTGAGAACAAAGTTGCTTGAAAAGGAAGATCGCATCTGGATGATTACGTGTATTGGTCTACATGTATATGAAATCAGGGATATTTGCTGTTTGAGAAAATCTTTACTGAATATGCTGCCAATGAAGTATATCCATTAGATGTGCCCGAGGGGTTATTTATATGTTGTCCTTTCTGAAGACAGGTTATGTTCAAAGTTATAAATTATTTTTAGTGTTTTGTGTAATTACTGTTAGCATATATGACTTGTAATTCGACAGTGTACAGTGAATACAATTATTTCTTATCTCTCTCATTTTTAAAATTTAGCAAATTTTGTATATGTGATTTCCAGAATTGATAAGAAAAAGTGGATGCGCAACTAACTTCTAGCTATGAATCTCAAGTAAGTGTATTTGAGACAAGAATCCGCTGAAACTATCATCAACACATATTATTAGTACACAAATCCTCACTATGCACCTATGCATTGCCATCTCTGAAGCAGATTTTACATCACATCAGAACCAAACATTGATGACTGAAGCCTTATCACGTGTAGGCAACATGTACAACTACAAAACGAATTCACAACGTGTCCATCAGCTAGTGCTAAGTTAACATCTCGTAGAAAAACCTACATAGTGTCACAAAAACCGATATGTCAAAAAAAAAATCGACAAAATTTCAGTTTTCAAGATACGTATTACCCGTGTGGGTCTGCGTTGTGTACACATTCAAATTAATTTTAATTGTTACAACGCAACCTTGATTTTGCCATTAGGATGCCCCTGTGCTAATGGCCTTTAGAGGCCGATGATTTTTTTCCAGATAAATGTAAAGCTACCATGCTCACTGAGAAAATGTTTTTAGAAAAATTCTTGAACAGTAAACGAAGGAACAACATACAGTGCCTTTCAGAGAGGTCTCCTGCCACTTATTTTTTGAACGATTCAAGCTAGCACTGAAATCCGGGATGATGAAATCAATGCATGACTACTATACTCTAAAGTAAAAATGCAAGTGGATTTCTGAGATGGGCGCCCTCTTGGGTTATGTTTTTAATGGATAGGGGAATCATCAAAACGATATATTATGCTATATCAATATTCTTATCTTGAAATTATATTTCCGAGTATATAAAGTATGGAACATTCGATTAAACAAAATTTCAAAATCAGTCAAATTTATTTTGTATGACATATTTTGTTACACATTCGGATGAAGCCTTCCAAGAGAAGAGGATGATAGAAATACTATACTGTTTTGATCGACAGGTGTTGAGTTATAAGCGATACCGCACTGATGAGTTGCTAATGACTATGAAGCAGCGCTGTCTACGGTTGGTCATGGTTACCGAAGATGGACAACAAACATGTCAATTTCAGCCGTTATAAAGTGCTTATAAGGAGCTTCAAAATGAGGTACCATATCACCCACTATTACATGTAAAAAATGTCCAGCCGCCCTCGAAATGTTCAACTACTATTTTTATGATAAAATATTATTATGCATTAACTTTATCATCGTGAATTTCAGCTTGCTAATTTGACCCGTTCAAAATATAAGTATGTAAGAAGAAAGCACTGTACATCTTTCTATTTGCAGCTGTTTTCTTTCATTGTGAGAAAGCTTTCACCAATTTTCTTCACTTGTACATCTTTAAGTTATGATGAAAGTGCAGCAAATACTTATAAAGGGTGTATCAATAAGAACGCAATATTTGAATTTAGAGCCAACACAACAGAACAGCGTATCCTAATTGTTAAAAATTATTACCAAAGCGGTGAAAGTTTAATTGCCACGATTCGAAAAGTGCAGGTAATATTCGGTCGGAATAATGTTCCTACCCCATCCACTGTGTAAAGAATAATCCAAAAATTTGAAAGTACTGGTTCTGTTAATGATGTGAAACATACGAGACGAGCTCGCAGCAGTCGTTCAGAAGAAAATGTCAGAGCAGTTCGCGAAAATATACCCGAGAGTCCAGGGACGTCGATTCGTCATCGCGCTCTCAAGAATTAGACATTAAAACAGCCACTCTCCAGCGTATTCTAACGAAAGATTTACACCTGCATGCCTACAAAGTCCAATTGACTCAACAGCTTATGCCAACAGACCATGCACGGCGAAGAGAGTTTAGCAATTGGATCCTTGGCCCACAGTATGTGAATGGTGATTTTGTAGATAAAATCATTCTTAGCGATGAGGCCCATTTTCATGTCGACGGCTTCGTCAATAGACAAAACTGTCGCATTTGGGGCACAGAGAATCCAAGAGTAATTGAGAAAGCTATGCATCCAAAACTTAACTTAAACGTTTGCTTGCTAAGATCGCTATTCGCTGACGTTTAAGCAACACGTACAGCTACAAAACGAGTTTTAAGCAAGTGTACAACAGCTTGTGCTAAGTTAACATCTTGTAGAAACACCTGCGTTATGTCGCAATAAAACCTACGAAACGTCAAAAAAACCGACGAAATGTCACTTTTCAAGAATCGTACTACCCGCTCGGATATTATGTAAAAATCCTATAAAACGTCAAAAAAATCCTATAAGATGTCATCTTGCAGACAAGGTAGTTTTTATGGTGCAAACAGTCATTCTACATTTGCTCACTAGGATTGTTGTGAGCGCGATCCAAAGCGTCCATCTATGAAGGAAATACTCATCTAAACCACACGCATTGTTTTGTGAAGCCGAGTGGGTCTGTAGTCTTCATAATTTTCATCTCTGAGAAGAAAGTTGGTTGAATAGCAAGATCGCATCTGGATGATTATGTGTATTGGTCTGCATGTGTATAAAATCAGTGATATTTGCTGTGTGAGGAAATCATTACTGAGTATGCTGCCAATGAAGAATATTAGCTGTGCCCGACGAGTTATTTGTGTTGTGCTTTCTGAAGAGAGGTTATGTTCAAAGTTGTAGATTAAGAAAAACTTTGAGAAGAATTACGGGAAATCACCACCGCGCTCGCGTTGTGTGTAATTACTGTTAGCATGTATATGGCTTGTAATTCGACAGTGTACAGTGAATATAATTATTATCTCTCTCATTTTTGAAATTCATCAAATTTGGATATACGAGTATAATTTCCAGAATGGATAAGGAAAAGTGGATGCGCAACTAATTTGTAGCTTTGAATCCCAAGTAAGTGTATTTGAGACAAGAATCCAATGGTATTTTCATCAACAATACAACTTACAGCTTCGACCTCCAGTAATGCCATCTCTGAAGCAGATTTTACATCACATCAGAGCCGAACATTGATAACTGAAGCCTCATGACGATTAGACAACACGCACAACTAAGTGCTAAGTTAACGCCTAGTAGAAAACCCTACATAATGTCAAAAAAACAGTATAACGTCAAATAAATCTATATAATGTCACTTTTCAAGATACGTAATACCCGTGCCGTACCGCACGGGTGTTACGTATCGATTTTTTTTTACATTTTATAGGTTTTTTGTGATAAAGCGTAGGTTTTTCTACAAGTTGTCAACTTAGCACTAGCTGTACACTTGTTATGAACTCGTTTTGTAGCTGTACGTGTTGCCTAAACGTTATGATGCTTCAGCTATCAATGTTTGGCTCCGATGCAAAGTAACATCTGCCTCAGAGTTGGCATTATTGGAGGTCTAAGCTGTAAGTTGTAGTGAGGATTTGTATGCTAATAAGATTATTAGCACACAAATCGTTGATGATAATTCCATTAGTTTCTTGTCGCAAATACACTTACTTGAGATGTATTCAAAACTGGAAATTAGTTGCACATCCACTTGTTCTTATTCATTCTTGAAATTACATATGCAAATTTGTTGAATTTCAAAAATGAGAGAGATGAGAAAATAAAATTCCTGGCAGGTGAAGTAATTAACTTTATGTGGAATCTTATATTTTATACTTATATACTGTCACATATTGCAATTATATTTCTTCCAAACATACTGGTATACCAAGACGTCGCTCCGCGCTATTCACATATGGCGCGTTAAACGGAAAAGTCAGGTTCATATTTGATTCACCCTCGTACTTTTCCAGAAGGTTTCATCTTCCGATGATTAGTTTTCCCTGAAAAAAATCGCATGCATCCATGTCTTCAACACATCTCAATTACAAGAGATTCTGGAAATCTGTTTAGAGAAATTCTCGCAAAACTTACGAAAGTATTTGTTTCGCACTTTATCGCTCTCTTCGGTCAGTAACGCAATTGGAAGCAACACATGCTTTATTACTGTTGGCGTAAGTAATAATAATTCATACAACACTTTTCCAAAATGATTTTACGTCCATTTAAAATTGTATCGATTCCCATTGTTCCAGCGACCAATTCCGTGTTTTCAAAAAACCTCGATACATTAATTAACTGATAAATGCTTATAAATACAGCTATATGGAATTTACACATGTTGAGTGGACGAATGTTTATATATTTTTAGGAGCTCATCAACAGCAACAGCACTCCCGAGCGACGCCACCAACGCCCCCTAACGGCTCAACGGCGGGCGTTATGTCGAAACTGAGTGCTCGCCAGATGGCCGAGTCGTTGTTGGAAGGATCTCCAGGTGGCGCTGAAGGAGGAAGTGGTAACGGCTCTTTCCTGGACGGTATCATCCGCAGCAGTCTCGAACAAGGGGTGCCCGGTGATAAAGGTACAGCCGCAGATAGGTAAGCACCACCAAGGATAATTTACAGCGTCAAGAACATAATGCCATACTACATTACATTTCTGCTATGCCAGTTTCACTGGTCTATAAACCCTCACATGTTCATAAAATTGATTTAAGCAGATTCAGTCGATACCACACATACAAGGTGATTCAGTGAAACGACACGATTTGGGAAAGCTTCTGGCGGAAAAATAGAGGAGTCACGAGCTTGCGACGTAAACTTTGTGAATCTAGAGAGTGGGAAGTTTAGTTATCATGGAGAAGTGGTTGGTTGAACAACGCGCATTTGCTGTGAAAGCTTATTACAAAAATGGTGAAAATTTTGTGCGTGTACATCAAGCGTTTCGCTTACACTACCATTTGCCGCCCCGCGCTCCAATTCTTTAAGGGTATCTTAAGTTTCAAAGTAACCCCCCCAAGAACTATCGAGGCTTTGAAAGAACGGATACGCGAAGAAGTGGAAGCAATACCTCAATAAATGTTACTCAATGTCGTAAACAGCTTTGTACCACGGCTTCAACAATATGTCCGATAAAATGGAGGCCACCTGTCCAATACAGGTATGATCTTCAAAAACTAACCATTTATTCACTTACACATTAATTCCCATCTGTCTAGTATACGTTTTTTTATTGAATTTAATAAAAAGATAATTTTTCAGTTTTTTTTGTTTGTTTGAAATCGTACCGTTTCATTGAATCACCTTGTACATTATTTGCAATTTTCAAGCATCTTAGAAGTGATATTAGGCTGTCTAAAATATGCAATGTGCAATAAAAATATCCTGAAAAATATGGAAAACGTTTCTGAACGTGACAAAAAGCGAACAAGATATGAAATTTTCCCAAAAATGTATTTCCAAAGATGATTTAGTCGAATAACGAAACTGGGAAACGATCTACATCTATTTTTCCTCCACTGACGATAAAGTCATTCGCATTTTCTTCTGGTTCGTTGCACACTTTGTATTTCGAAAGCAACACCTTGTTTATCACGGATAACTAGAATAATAGGACTTAGTGCATAGGGACACCGGATGCAGATACGTATTATTTGTTGTTAGGTATGAGTATGATCGGTAATTATTCAAGTGAGGCGTCGTTGAGTTCAGAATGTCATTCTCGATATAACTAAAAATATATAGGGTTTCCCATTTAAAAACCGAAAGTTGGTGTCGTTACCTTTCAAACCGGAAGTACGCCAAAGCAAGTTAGTGAATATGTCAGAAAATGTAAATTCATCTATAATACGCAACCCCAAAATTTCGTTTTCCTATCTTCAATAATTAAAAAGTTATGGGGGTCAGCCACCTTGGAGACTCACGCGGTATTAACTGTACTATACAGGGTGGCCAAACACGTGACGTCATAAAAAAAATTAGATTCCCCACATCGAGAGGAACCCAAATCACCCCCATATATATGGTCCGATTTTGTTTAGTTTAGGAGTTATGATTTTTTTTCGGATTTTTCGAGAATTTTTGAGTTCTGTGTTTATTTTTACCATAACTTCGTTAATAATTGTGATAAATGCCTGCTTTTTTCACGATTATGTAGCTAAGACCTAAGGCTTAACTATCATATAATCATTCAAGTCATGTAACTAATACTACTTTTTAATTTTTTTCAAAATCTTCGAACATAACAAAAAAGTAAAAAAGTGCAACAACTTTGAACGTTTATAAAAAATTGAAAAAACATGTTCTTACTATTCGTAAGTATCTTAAAAACTTCCTTACGGTATCAGCTATTTACCGTAAAAATTTCATCAACCTAGCTTTACTACATGCTACCGTAATTGTGGCTCAAATAGAACCGAACCCAAAATTGGATAACCCTCTGCTCAATAGAAATTGTTAGTTTCGGAAAAAAATTTGCAAAAACCACAAAAACACGTTTGATTTTTACTGAACAGCAGATTATTATTCATTTATGTTATTTACAAGAGGTTTTCAAAATGTCTGCCTCTAACAGAAATGCACAGTGTACACCTACGTATGAAATTTTGTTTTAAATCTCTAAATGCTTGTGTGTTGTTTTTCAACACATGTGTCGCTTCTTGAATTTTGTTCCTCAATGAATTTTCATTTGCACATTCTTGGGCGAATGTTATGTCTTTAAAATATCCCCAAAAAAAAAAATCAATGGGGTTGAGGTCAGGGGAGCGTGGAGGCCATCGTATCGGTCCGTTTCGTCCGATCCATCTGTCTGGGAACCTTTCGTTTAAGTAGTTTCGCACGATCGTTGCGTTGTGGCATGGTGCACCATCATTCTGGAACACCATGTTCCGTCTGGCTTCCAGGCTTGAATCTTCCAGCAATAATGGTAGGCTATTTTCAAGGAAGCTTTTGTAGGCTACCGAATCCAACCTTGACGGCAGTTCAAATGGACCGATAAATTCCATATTGAATATTCCTGACCACATGTTCCGCTGATCCGGATCGCAGAGAAGTAGTACTTGAAGAAATTAGCCGGAATCCCTCAACGAGTACGAGATCTATGGCACAAAACCTTAGAATACCACGAACATCGATACAAAATATTCTTCATGAAGAAGGTTATCATGCCTATCATGTTCAAAGAGTTCAAGCGTTGATGCCTTCAGATTACCAGTTAAGAGTGGATTTCTGCGAGACAATGCTGCGAAGACAACGAGAGATTCCGGCTAGTGGAACCATGTGGTCAGGAATATTCAATATGGAAATTTTTTTTTTTTTATGGGTCCATTTGAACTGCCGTCCACGGGGGGGGGGGGGGGTTGGTCGTAGCCTACAAAAGCTTCCCTTGAAAATAGCCCCATATTGCTGGAAGATTCAAGCCTGGGAAGCCAGGACGGAACATGGTGTTCCAGAATGATGGTGCACCATGCCACAACGCAACGATCGTGCGAAACTACTTAAACGAAAGGTTCCCAGACAGATGGATCGGACGAAACGGACCGATACGATGGCCTCCACGCTCCCCTGACCTCAACCCATTGATTTTTTTGTTTGGGGATATGTTAAAGACATAACATTCCGCCAAGAAATGTGCAAATGAAAATTCATTGAGGAACAAAATTCAAGAAGCGACACATGTGTTGAAAAACAACACACAAGCATTTAGAGATTTAAAACAAAATTTCATACGTAGGTGTACACTGTGCATTTCTGTTAGAGGCAGACATTTTGAAAACCTCTTGTAAATAACATAAATGAATAATAATCTGCTGTTCAGTAAAAATCAAACGTGTTTTTGTGGTTTTTGCAATTTTTTTTTCCGAAACTAACAATTTCTATTGAGCAGAGGGTTATCCAATTTTGGGTTCGGTTCTATTTGAGCCACAATTACGGTAGCATGTAGTAAAGCTAGGTTGATGAAATTTTTACGGTAAATAGCTGATACCGTAAGGAAGTTTTTAAGATACTTACGAATAGTAAGAACATGTTTTTTCAATTTTTTATAAACGTTCAAAGTTGTTGCACTTTTTTACTTTTTTGTTATGTTCGAAGATTTTGAAAAAAATTAAAAAGTAGTATTAGTTACATGACTTGAATGATTATATGATAGTTAAGCCTTAGGTCTTAGCTACATAATCGTGAAAAAAGCAGGCATTTATCACAATTATTAACGAAGTTATGGTAAAAATAAACACAGAACTCAAAAATTCTCGAAAAATCCGAAAAAAAATCATAACTCCTAAACTAAACAAAATCGCACCATATATATGGGGGTGATTTGGGTTCCTCTCGATGTGGGGAATCTAATTTTTTTTTATGACGTCACGTGTTTGGCCACCCTGTATATAGACAGATAGATTTGTAACATCCTTTTCAACTAATATATGCTACAAGTAAAAGTAAAAATAAAAAATACAGCATTGAAATGGCTGCTCCAATTTGCATAACAGTTGAAGGCTTAGCTTGTTCTCAAATTCATAATATGTTTGATTCGTTTTCTCCAAATTTAGATTTACGATCTTCTTAATTAGGTACGTCGATGTGATCTTAGAAGTTATATCACAATGTCACTCAGAGACATTAGAAGTGTTACACCCAAAAAAAAAATCTCCAACTTGATTTTTTGGCAATGAAGTAGTCTTAGTTCAAGAATGAAACGATAACATTTCGTGGATTAGGTGTGGCACAGTTTGTGTCGTATGATGCAAAGTGGATAGTCTCCTCCGCATCAGATGGTGGATACGGCAAAACATTAACCCCTGATTCTTGAAGAAAGTCCCTAGTATGATGAGCAAAATGGGGACATGCGTTGTCTTGATGAAAAAAGACGTGTTGGCGGCCCTGTAGATACGGCAGTACAGTAGTTTGTCGGACATCATCAACATAACACGCAGCAGTCGTATTCTCTTGAACAAAGGAAGGAATAATCGGCTAACAAAGGCAATAGCCCTCCAAACCATCACTCCAACAGTCCGCTGTACATGCCTGTCAACAGCAAATCCAATATCACGCCGTTCTTTGCGACGGCGTCCTTTCCATCTACGACCATCGTGCGTATCTAGACAGAATCGCGATTCGTCGCTGAAGATGACATTATGCTATTCTGCCTCCCGATGTTACCGTTCTCTGCTCCAGTTCAAACGATGACGACAGTGGTCCGCAGTCAGAGGAAGCACTAACCGTGAACGGTATGAAAAAGGTCCAAAGGCTCGAACGCGGCGTTAGAGTGTACGCATAGTAACAAGTCCTTCTTCTCCAAACCATTGGTCAGCGATCTGACGCGTAGTAGCTAAACGGTCTCGTAGGGCTAGTTGTCTGAAGCGCCTATCTTGACTCTCTGTGTACTCCTCGGTGGACCAGCCTTCTACGCGTTACAGTCATTTCAGTACAACTAACGGCGGCCAATTTCGTCAGCTCGCAGAAACTGCTTTCTTCACAAAAGCTAAGAGATAACATTTTAACAAAGGTAAACAAAAACGAAAATAAAAGATTGACATTGTTGCTACAGCATGCTTTAAATATAGTCATTATGTTTCCAAAAAAACAAGTTGAAGAAATTATTGTTTCTAATTGTGTAATTTATTTTATAATATAGATGTATTCAATTAGTATAGTAGTGGAACCGACTGCAAATTTTGGTTACATGGCATACGGAGATGATTTGGTAAAAACTAGACAAATATCACGTATCTTGATACTAAACTGCAAACTTGTCAGGTTAAATGTTGATCGGAGCGATATAATTAATTTTAGAAAGATTGAAAATCGAGTACCCTGATGAAAATTCGTGGGTCTTTATCGAGTACCGAAATAAGACTTCGCGAAGTTGTTACTTACGCTTATCCATGGCAAGTAGAATGGACTGGCCAGTGGAAAACGTAACCAAAGATAAACTGACCAAAACAAACCTTAAACAGTGCTTTTCAGAAATTTCCCCTCTACTATTTTTGAACGGGTTAAGTTAGCAAGCTAAAATTCTAGATAATAAAATTAATGCATGAAAATGATATTTTAGCGTTGAGGTGGCAGGCGAAAATTTCAAGATGGCTGGGCCCATTCTTGAACATTTTTTAAATGGGATGGGGAGTCATGTGATACCTCATTTTGAAGCTACTTAGGAGTACTTTTTAAGAATATATCATCACTATCAGCAAAACTTTATAGTATGTCATATCAACTTTCCTCTTTTGGAACGGTCTATATGAATGTGCAATAAAATGTGGGGTATTCAGTTTAAAAGAGAAATACAGATTTTGACCATATCTTAAAATGAAATGTTACATATTCTTAGATCCTTCCAAGAGAAAAATATTATAGAGATTTAATGATTGATGGTTGAGTTACGACTAAATATACCAAAAAGCTTAACTTTATCAGCCTGTTTTGAGATATGGTGATTTTTCGATCTAGACTTACAAATTACTCATAAAGAGCTTGAATGAGGTATCACACGACCCTCCATTATATTTAGAAAATTTTTCAAAATGGCGTTTAGCCGCCATCTTTAAATATTCAACTGCCATTTTTACGCTAAAATATTATTTCATTACTCCGAATTTGAAGTTTCTAGCTTGACCCATTCAAAAATACGTGAAGGGGGTGCCCTTTGAAAAGCATTATATGTGATTTTATTTGGCCAGAGGGCTGATAAAATCCCGGCAAGTTTTTCTCTAGTTACGTTTTTCACTGTCACATGCCACTTTCTGCTGAAAAGCGTAAATAACAACTTTGGGTACGGGATGAGGGTCCATGAAATTCAATCTAAATACGCGATGTCTCCTGGTACTGTAAGTTTTCCATTTTTTTTTAATCAATTACACTGTACTGATCAACAGTTCACCTCTCAAGTTTACATTATAGCATCAAAATACATAAGACTTGACTAATTTTTACATCATCTCGCTACGCGATGTTACCAAAAATGTGCGTTCGACTCTTGGACTAGTACTACTGAATATAAAATGACCCTTCAGATGTTATACAGTATGTTATCACCAGTATTACATCGACGATCATCATAGGTAGTATCAATCGCAATACTGGCTGGATGATGCCTGCCTAGTGAAGACATATTCGACCTGTAGTTTGACTGCCTCTCTCCCAATTTGCTAAATCAAAAAATCAGACGACAGAATTGTATCGATCACACAATTGTATAATACTCGTTGTAGCATACTGTATATGTACGGTTGATATCGTGGAGGATATGGTGTTTCCATGCATCTGGCAAGCGCTTATGATATATATAAAAGCAGGAAAATAATGGGCAACATCCGCAAAAAGGAGTAAAGTGGATTCGAGCAGAAACTAGGATAGGTAACCCGAGCGATACGTATTTCTGCTGGTTGGCTTCATCAGGCCCGAATGGAATGCACATATGCAACTACAAAAGTAGAAACACATGCCCACACATCCGGTATGGGTGTAACCTGAGGAAACGAAGATGGAGAGGGAAAAAAATCGACACACGAAGTCCACAACAAGAGCCAACCTACACATTGTAGTATAAAATGCCTAGAAAACCTCGAATTTTCGAGGAGGAGACATCCAACCACAACCACGCGGCCGGTTATAGCCACTTGCTGTGGTACTTCAAGCCCAAAGGATCTACAAAGAGAAAATATTCATGCGGAGAAAGGTATCTAACAAAAAGTAGGAAAATAATGGGCAAAATCCTACTTTTTGGTATATACCTTTCTCCGCATGATCATTTTCTATATATATACAGGGTGACTTCGAAGTTGAGTCATTTATTTTAACAGTGAGTAGATCTGATCAGAAGAAATGTTTTTTCCTTTAACATTTTTTTGGTAAAATTAAAGTAACAAAGTTATAGCCCTTTAGAAGTTTGAGTACCGCCCTGTCTCAATAATATCATGTGTTCGCGTTTTTCAACAACGGTTCATCGCATCGGAAACAAAAAAGCGAAAGAATTTGGAACGATGTTTTTACGATTACAATTCAGTTCAGTTATACATACAGTCAGTTTCAGTCGCGTGTGAATAGTTGTTGTGTTGCGTGGCTCAAACGAAATAAAAAATGGCACATGTTTATGCGGATCGGTTTCCCAATCGAGTGCAACCAACCCCTCGTGCCTTTGTTAATGTAGTACAACGGGCTCGTGAATCAGGTGACTTAAGACCTCACAGGGGACCTCACGATCAAATACAGGTCCGCACTGAAATACTTGTCGGGAGGATACTTTATAAAACAAGGTAAAAATTTTTTTAATTTTTTTTTTATTTTTACACACATATTTTGGTTTATCTTCCTTCTACAATCATTATCTGAAAATTAATGACTCAACTTCAAAGTCACCCTGTATATATGAGCAGTAGTCATTGCCAAAGCCAACGACTAGTTGGGTACAAAATACAATTACTTGTTAATTGGAAAGTTGGCAAAACTTTTAGGCTTAAGTTGACTCTTTTGACGATAAAATCAAGCTTTCGGCATTCTCTATGGAGCCATCATCAGGATTCTGAAAACACAATTGTGATGCTAGCAAAGAAAACAGGACAGATTTAAAATGTCAGACAACTTACTCGTCGGTGAGGTTGCAGCCACAAGGTGTTTCAGAAAGTGGGAAATTGGCAAAACTTTTAGGCTTAAGTTGACTCTTTTGACGATAAAATCAAGCTTTCGGCATTCTCTATGGAGCCATCATCAGGATTCTGAAAACACAATTGTGATGCTAGCAAATAAAACAGGACAGATTTAAAATGTCAGACAACTTACTCGTCGGTGAGGTTGCAGCCACAAGGTGTTTCAGAAAGTATAAAAATTGATAGCATTCTTCATTCTAAAATTAGTGAGCAGCTGACACGTCACATTATTTAGTGGAATTCAGCAAAACAATCTTCATTGTGCTTGATACAGTCCCACATCGCACCAGTTGCTGTCTCCATAAGGTGCGTGTGACTACACCTACTGTCCCACGAGCTGGACCACGAGTACTTTGTTGAGTATCATTTCACTGCTGCCAAAAAGCATGAATTAGGCAATCAATAATTGTGCTGGTAATGTCAGAATACCAATAATCAGCTATTATTTTCAAAACGATTTGCCCTCTTTTGTTGTTTGCTTTCTGCTCTGACTGACTGACTGACTATTCTTCTTATCACCAAATCCATATCAAATGATCATATTATTATATATATTTTTATTTGTTTCAGAGATGATAGTGATGAAGGTCCACTAGCACCCGAAAACATGTCCAATAAAGCACTTTTAGACCAACTTTGCAGAAACAGTAGGCTAACGCCTTTAAGCAAAGATGATGGCAGCTCTGGTGAAGAGGGTGGCGGAAGAAAAGAAAGCCCTCCTCTAACCTTATCTGGAAGTAAGTTATTCATTGAATAATAAAAACAATTTTCAGTCAAGCTTTTGGCAAATACCTATAATTAACTCTAAATCATATTCAAACTTTAGCTTTTGATTTGGACAATCACCATAAAACGAATTCATTAGTTTCTCCAGTTGCCGGCACCTACCAAGGTTTACTCTCGGACAGGCATATCTTCCAACCCTAAAAGTGAATGCCAGTTGGAATGTTCGAGATGGTGGAGTGATGTACTTAATGTTATTTTTTCACTTGGCAGTGACGTGCTTTGAAATTTTTCACGTTGGTCATATGAATTTGAGAAAGTATCTTCAAGCAAAGTGAACCATCTGCTTATTTAAAAAAAACAGTTTTGTTTGCGCTTAGGTCAATAATGAAACACTTGTATCCGTTATATTTATTACTTTATATTTTTACATGTATATTATTATTAGATAATATGTACAACGTATGTTGAGGCGATTACCCAAAACAGAATTAATACGAATCAATCAAAAAACAATTACAAGAAGTCCGCAGCTTATATAAGAAGAATAAAAAAGGTCAGGACAGTTTGAAAGCCTAATCTTACCTAAATATATCCTAGAACATGAATATACGGATCTGCAAAAGTTCGTCAGGATAATCTTGATAAAAATGAAACAAGATAATATATTTATATGAGATTACGACAACATTTTAGAATTATATCAAACATTTTATTCAAAATGTCCCCCTGAACACTGCTTCATCTCGCGGGCCACTCATCTATCACTGCACGCACAGCTTCCAAAGGAATAGCTGCCGCTGATCGGATCAAATCCGCTTTCAGGGACTCGATATTACGGTGGGCTTTGGAGCAGGCCAACTGCTCTAGCAGGTCCCACAACTTGTAGTCTAAAGGATTGAGGTCCGGACTCCCTGAGGGCCAATGTTCCGCAGCAATGAACTCTGGCACATTGCTTTCCAGCCAGCGCTGCGTACTCTTAGCCTTGTGAGCGGGGGCGGAATCCTGCTGGTAGACCCAGTGTTGGTTGGCAAACAATGTACCACTTAAAGGCTTGACGATAGGATCCAGTATGTCGCTCTGATAGTTTGCCGCTTTTGTTTTCACGCCCTGTTTACAGAAATGGAGCTGAGTGACCCCTTCGTAGGACACCCCCCACCAAACCATGACTGACGCAGGGTGGTGGCCTCTCTCAACTCTCGGAATGATCTCCGAAGCTTCCTGTGAACTCCTTGCATACACTTTGTCATTTTGTCGGTTGAATTTTTCTTCTATGGTGAAGATTTTCTCATCCGTGAACAAAATCTTTCGGAATCCCCCAGCTGCGTACCTCTCCAAGAGCTTCTTGGATCTTGTCGCCCTGATGTGTCGCAAGGTGGCCGTAAGTCGCTGGCCCGTACGTCTCCGGTAAGCCCCTAGCCCTAGGTCTTGTTTAATGATGCGCGACATCGTCCGGACAGGAATCTTCATTTCCCTGGATAGGATCTTCTGCTTCCGGAGTGGATTCCTTTGAATCCTGGCTTTTACTGCTTTGATGGCTGCTGGAGTCCTTACTTGACGAGGTCTTCCGCTTCTTGGCCTGTCATCAACAGAGGACGTCTCATTGTACCGCTGAATGGTCCTAGACACAAATTTACGCGATATTTGAAGGCCGCGTAAGAGTTCAAAAATCTGACTAGCACTGTGATTACACTTATGTAAAGCTATCACTGCAATACGGTTCTCTGCCTTGCCCCACTCCATCGTTATGCTTCGAGAGATCAATACAAACTGAGGTATATGTAATTACCCGAAAAGCGCTTAATCAACTGACACCACAATGTAAACAATCGGACAAGTATTAACAGGTCTACACTTGTTTGAAAACGAGGGACAGAACTTATGGCATGACTACGTATCTAATAGGATATTCACCTTTGAACTGCAAAATATAAAATATGTCATTATCCTGCTTTTAAACGCATGCTACATTTCTTTAGGAGGATAAGGACTCGCTATCTTCCATATCACTGTCACGGTCACTATTGCTGTCAGCATCCCCGATGTTAATAATAAATCCTGGTGTTATCTTTGAAAATTCCTCCTCCGCTATTCGCTGTGCGTCATTTAAAGTAAGTGTGATATTTCGATCTGCAACTCTGTTCTTCACTGTAGCCCATATCAATTCAATAGGATTTCAATTGGGATGATATAGAGGTAGTGTATAACATCATATTTATCCTGTATGAATTGTTGCTTATTTTGCAGCATAATCGGTGTGAATCTAATATTTTTAGATACAAGCCAGTCAACCATTACTTGCTTCCGAGCGTTGCAGTTTGATGCAGGGTCCACTTGTATGTTGTGATAACTATCACAGAATTTGGTGGCAAATTTGGAAAAGCTGCTGCTTCAGCCATTCATCGTAATTTGAGCTATTCATCTCGTCATGATAATCTCGGCTTTTTGTACCTGAGTCAAAAATCAATGAACCGTCATGTATGAAGCCGTCGGAACTACCTGCATGGATCATAATAAGCCGCTTTCCTTGAGTTGCATATAGACTATCTAGGTATATTGTAGCCTCGGAAGTACTTATTTTCTGTAGATAGCTGATTCTTAGCTGACGAATGTCTATCGATGAGTAGTTTTCTTTTATTCTGTGTTTTTTTTTCATTTGAAGCCGAGTTGTTTAACTATTCTTCTCAAAGATCTTTCGCTACCATGCCAATCGAAATCTTCTTCTAATTTCTTCCTAAGCACTCCAATTTTTACTCAAGACGAGTTTGTTAAATGGAAATTATAGATAATGTTTCTTATATCTGCAGTAGTGAAATTCTCGTTTGACAGATCTGTCACGGGAAATTTGCGCTTTCTTGCAGTACTAATTTCACCAGAAAACGCTGCTCGTTCTTGTCCCAGCATGGTGGCAATTGATACTCCTGTTGCTTTAGCTACTTCCGCTTTAATCTCTGCCATATTTTGGGAACCGTCACTGCCAGTTTTCAGATTGAGGATGTATTGGCATACATTGTATACCACCTCACTCGTCTGGTTGGACAAAACTTTATTTCTACTCAGATTACTCATAGTAGAAATATTATCACTATTGGGATTCGTACGGGATAACAATACGGTTATCGACGTCTAATAATCAAAAATTATAATTTTTTATCTCATTTATAGGAATTATATAAGAATCAAATTCAATATTTCTAAAATCATAAACAAAACGTGCGCTTTAACTTCAGGCGTCAGTCGGTACTCGGTACGCTACTGGATATAACGACGGACGAGATACCATGCAGTATTGTCGCCGCACCATAAGACCAAATCTTGGTAGGTGCCGGCAACTGTATGTCTTTCTAATTTCAAAGCTACAAGAAGAAGATACCATTTTAATTCGAAAAGGGGGTGCATATGACGCCCTCATTGTGTCGACCTAATAGACCAAGAATAGACATTGAGTCTTTGTCAGAAGTACTAGCTTTGAATTACGAGATGGTGGGGTTTCCTATAATCGAGAATACTGTCAAATTCAATCGGATATAAAAGTATAACATGTATCTTCACAAAATTTCCTGCAAATCTCTGATCATGTCATGTCTAAAGTTGTGATATAGTTTATGTTCCAATTTTTGACTCCATTTCTTTTATGCGTCTCAAAAATAAAACAAAATTCCTGTTGCATATTGATCCATTACTTAAGGAAGTATGATTATATAGCTCTTAAATAAGAGGAAATATACAGACATAAAATGGCTGAAAGTAAAAAAACTACATGAGTCACTAATATCCATAAGCTTTTACCCACAGCCATTCCTTCATTTTCAAAGAATGAACTGATATATTCACACAAGAAATAACTTAATTTAAATTTTTAAATTTTTATTTTAAAATATTTATTTTTGATAAAAATACTTAAAATAGTTGTTTTTAACCTTTCACTTCACAAAATTTTTCATTGTAAAATTTCATTCTTTCAAATGTAAAACTGTTATAATCTATATGTTATACACAACTGATTTAGTCACCTGCCATCAGTTACTCTTGTTAACACTGAAATATTTTGTTGTACTTTTTTGGGGGGTAAACGGCTGAATAGCACTATGCCAAACTTCGCCCCTAATAAAGAGGATTATTATTATTATTATTTCTTCGAGATTGTAGTATTTTTTATTTGAAGCATTATAGCCCGTCACGCTGTTAAAACTCAGAGATATAATATTTGCTACCACTGTGAGCCAGCATGCCGTGTCTGCGAATACCAAACTTCTTGGTAGCGTAACTTTTTTAATTTTTTGAGATATTTGGAAGATATGCTGGGTTCAGTTTGGTTAGACTATGATTTGAGAGATTTGTTTTGAAAAACAGCAAACTCCCCCACTGCAATATAAATATTCCGTTCCAGCTCCTGCTCAAACTCAAGACACGACTTCGTCCTCGTCGCTGGGTTCGACTCGAAAGAACGATGGGGGTTTCCCCAGCTCTGGTGAGGCCATGGAGCTTTCCGAAGATAGAGTTGATGGAGAGGAGCGCCGACCACGCATTTATCTCAAACAGGATCTCGCAAAAATGGAAAACCTCAAACCTGAAACGTTGGTTCGCCTCAGAGATGTTGCGAACAATTATGTGTCCACCCAGCACGGGTAAGAACTCGCATTCTATTTTTATCAAACAATTTTTTGCCAACAAATATTGTCAACAAAATAAGTGCGGTACAACCATATAGAGTGAGTTCCTAGGTATTCGCAAAAAGTGTCAAAGAAAATGGGTGAGTCAAGTCATTTGAAAAGGCGAAGTCGAACCCTGATTAGGTAGGTTTACTTGTGTAAGATGAATCTTCAATCTCTAAATATCAAATTAAACATGTTGTGTTACGGAAGATTACGCATTAAGCTAAAAAACGGCAACGCTGTCTCCTTCTCAAGTGAAGCGCCCACACTCGACCGCCGGCGCCGACCGAGCTGCAGCAGCATGCTCGACATCGCGAGTTGCCGCTTTTCTCGCTTTTTAGACCTAGTACTAAGTAATCATTGAATACACAAACTGTATAACTTATTATGTCAAACAAGTACATAGTATCAGCGGGTCCAGCAGCTTAATAATAGGTCTTTCACTGACTCCAAACATGCAACAATTTACAACCATTTACTCCATAAAGCTTCCAACCTACAATGTTCAACCTCTCTAAACAACGTCTAAAAATGAGCAGGAATCTTTGAAAAGGTTGTAACACTATGTTCCAGCAATTTTATTCCGCCGCCTCCGATAACTCGGATAATATTCGAACTTTAGTTCAAAAGTCTTCTGTTGGTTAAATATACTTGCATCACACAAGTCCGTGTTTCTCATTTAAGTCGGTTTGTCTGTCCGTGTCTGATGTTCATCAATGCGTGAGGAGTACTGAGACAATCTATTTGACGAGATATTTAGAGATCCATCTGACTGAGTAATACAGATTAAAGATAATAAAATCCAGAATATAAAAACAGTTAAATCATGATTTACAAAAGCATCACAGAACGCTACAGTGGTACGTACTCCTAATACCAATATATTCTAGAATATATAAATATCCTTACCACCTGTTAGAGTTTGTTGCCCATTGCGCTTGCAAGAGTTGGCAGGGGCCTCAACGATAATGCCGCGTTTTAGCATAGTGCTGTACACACAACGCCAACGATTGTTATTTACAATTATCAGACTTTTATCATTTATTTTTCGCGTTGTTCTGGTATCAGAACCTTCTTAATGATAGAACGTAACATTCACAATCCAAACTCCCAATTTTTAGCTATTGCAAATTTTTTTCGGCAAATAAGCAGCAGCCTTAAAACGTCAAAAAACGAAGTTTGAGCGATATTTATTTATTTTTTTTTTTTTTTCGTTTTGCGCCCCAACTCTGGTGCCACTGGAACGATTTTAAAAAGCGACAAAGCGTTGTCGCCCTTAGAAGAGTAATAACCTTATGTGAAAATTTATTCAATATCCCAGCGGCACTTCTCAAGTTATAGAGGAGTTAGTGATCAGCGGACGGACATAATGACAGACCTACAGAAATTAGGAACATGGTTTTTCGTAATCTACATGTCATAATACATCCAAAAAATATCTTGTTTTCGAAAATTTTCACGATTACAATACTTCCACGCCATGGTAATATACCGCCTTCTGCAAGCCGATACATAACGCCGTGGAAACAAAGTTAAAATGAAGCAGTGTGATGTAGTTTACTATGGGGTCTACTACACCATTTGTAGGTCAGTCTGTCTGTCTGTCCGCTATTCCTTTACCTCTCTATAACTTGGAAAATATTTCTCGGGTTTTGATAAAAACTTTGGTGGGATGAGGAGTAAATCATTGGGGCCAGGAGGTTACCGAAGGTTGGGAAGGGTATATCTCATTTTTTACATTAATATGTTTATGCGCCTCTAATCCCTGTATTCAGACATATTTCAGACGTATATTTTCTTATAAGACTAAGAATGTTAGAAATATTTTCAGTGTCAACATCCAGCGCAGCTAAAAAAGAAGTTAAATCTGTCGCGAATGGGCTGGAACTGGATAGCTCGGTGTGTTACAGTGTGGAAAGCTACCACATCGGCTCGAAAGCTCGTATAGCAAGTTTACTCAGATGGGACAACACCTACCAAAAAGATTAAAATCATACAGATTTTAGGAGACAATCCACTGCGGTCACCCATTTCGAGCCACTGATATTGTGTGTCTATAGGTGTATAATGTACGTACCAGATCGATGCATAATCAAATGAATGAAGCGCATCGTCGTATCGTTGAAGCTGGTTTATTGCAGCTAACTGATACCGCCAGTTTCAGAAAGACCTGCAAATATTTCTAGGGTATAAAGTACATCTCAAAATAACAAAAACAGTTCCTATAATTATGGGTCCAAAGATGCTTCACTACCGAGATACAGGGTTGTGAAGTCTTATTTACTGAATTAAAAAAAAACTTACGGAGCAGATAAAGTTACTGAGTTAGCATTTCAGACATTCAGTGAACACATCATCAGCAGTAAGCACCCCGGCCCAAACTAAACCAGGGACGTAGAAACTGGGGTACCTGGATGCCTAATAGGAAAAATTGTCTACGCTACTGGCCTTTTCGGAGAAAAGAAGTGTATTGTATGAAATACCACTCGATTTTCCATAGATTTTATGTCTTAAGAAATTTTTGTCAGATCACTAGTTTTGGAGATATTTAGCTTTGAATAATTAAGGTAAAATCCTAGAATATTCTGATGAAAAGGTTTAGCCTTCCCAATTTTGTGAAGCTTCATATTGGAGAGACAGTATGGCATTACAACATTAATTAAATAATATGCGTGTCTTATCCTCAATCAGTATCGTAGAAGCTTACCATCCATTAAACCTAGTCTATGCACGCCACTGGTTTTCATGGTATACTTCTTCTAGTATTACCTATGTTAGATTCTTCTATTAATTGTGGAATCAATTTGAGTAAAATTCTCATTATTTTACTTCTGAAATTATCGGCTATTTTTATCAAAATTCTTTAGCATTTAGGATTAAGTGAGCTCAACAAAGAAGATGTCACAGATCGTTAGCAACCTCGGACACGAAGTATGAGGACGAGCTATACAGAAGGCTTTTAACACTGTTTGTACTACACCAGGAATTTTCCAAAGAGTCCCTGTGGCGTAGAGCACGGGCTTGTGTTGAATCCACTTCCTTGCGGTTGAATTTCATACCATTTATTCAGCATAATTGTTCCCAATGTTATCTCTTCACAAATTTAGAAATAACCACGTTAGTTTTATCAAATGTAATATTTATTGTTGTCCTGTGTAATTCTCAAAAATGAATATGCCGGCAAAACAGCGGCGTGCACAGAGAAGATTTAATGAACGGCAAGCTTCTTCGCTACTGATTCAGGATAAGACACGCATATTATTCAATTAATGTTGCAATGAAGTGCCAAGTAGTGTTTCCAATATCAAGCTTCATGGTGTTTTCAGAATGGGGGAGGCTAAACCTTTCCATTGGAATATTCTATATACAAATCTAAATATCTCCAAAACGAGTGATCTAAGAAAAATTCCTTCGGTGACAAAATTTATGGAAATTCTTTCCTCCGAAAAGGCCAGTGGCGTAGATAATATTTCCTACTAGGGGTCCAGGTACCCCAGTTTCTACGTACCTGGTTTAGTTTGCGCCGGGAAACTCTGTGGGTTTATTGCTTATGAATATCTAAAATCTTAACTCAGTAGCTTTACCCGCTCCGTAGATAGATTTTTTCACAATTTTGTAAAAAAAACTTTATCGCCCCGTATCTCAATAGGGGAGCATCTTTTGACCTATATTTATAGGAACTTTTTTGTTATTTTTGAATGTAATTTCTACCCTAGAAATATTGGCGTCTCTCTGAAACACCCTGGATAAATAGTATAATGTTGGCAGTGTTGGCACATCAAAGTCCGAAAAAGGGGTCAAAGTCGGCCCAGTTACCAGGTTTCGTTTCTCTATTATCTACTATTACTACACTAAACTATTGCGCAACTGTGCTCGCAACAACGTTTCTAGATCGCATCGTTGTCAAATGGGTGGTAACTGGAGACTAATTGCATAAACCTATTTGACTGACTTGATCACAGCGTCGCATGGGAAGTGCTGAGTCGATTTACTTAACGCGATTTTTTTTTCAGAGGAGAAATGTTAGATAACGGTTGTGCGATCACGACAGACAGCACAGCGGGCAGCGTTTGTGGGTCGGAAGACGGAGGCGGCTGCGGTGTTGGACCTGGAAGTAGCGAGCACGACTGACACCGACCATCCGCACCGACAGCCGCTCTTTACTATTGACGCGGACGGCCACGTGGGCGACCGTGAGAAAAAACCATAAACTAAAGTAATGGCTGCCCACGCCGTTATGTCGACCAACTGAAGAAGCTACTAGACAGCGATGGTTGTATGTTGGTATGGTAAAGAGCTACTACACGACTACTGTGTGTAAGATAACATGGTGGTAAGAAACGGTAGCTATCATGGCTACGACTTTTTCGTAATGAAACAGTTACAAATTCTAAAATATTAATTTTTATTCGGAAAATAGCCGATTGTCAAAAAATGTGACAGTTCTAATAGGATATTCTGCTTCTCTTTTAAGTACTTCTTTCGATCGATCTTCGATCGAACGTGTGATGAAAATATTTTATAAAAATGCAATCAGATGTAACTGTTGCTTCAAAAATATGCTACAAAGCTACTGGGATAAGTATTTTCTCTTATTTTGGAGCGAATTATACCAGGTGTTTCAAATTCGTCGCTCACCATTAGGATCTCGGGAACTGCTAGAGAAAAGTGGGTTAAGTGGGGGCATAGTTGCGCTTTTAAATAACTGACAAAATGGCTCATAGAAAGTTTCACAATTGGGAGTATCACCAGAAATAAACGACAGAAACAGAATAAAAAATACGTTAACATTGACACATTTTCTCCTCTATAAGATGACATACTTAAAATTTCGATATGAGGTTTCGTCTTTTGTCCTCAATCATTAACATCTGATTGATACCGTATTGGATTTTTGCACAGTTGAATAGAGTTTTTAATTCCGATTCCCAAAATATGTCATACATAGGCATTGTCATACCAAAGTTATTTCTAAAAAACTAATATTGTCATAGTTGGCTACCACGAAGGAGGCGCTCTACGTAGATCAATAGTATTTGAATGCATCATGGGTGCATCGGTTTAGATATGAGGGATATGAAATGTATTTAGGAAGCTGCAAGCTTCAGTTACAGTCACAAAATAATTATGTTTTCATGCTCTTTATTGGATTAGTTAAGACCGACTATGGGAATATTACTTATTTACATCTTTAAAGTTTTCTAATATACATTAATATCATACATATATACAATTTCACATCATTAAAACCGGAAGTAGGACTGTTCACCTATGCCTAGTTGATAAACATTGAACGAATGCTTGGCTGGAGATATTATGAAACAAATGGATATCAGATAATGTCAATGCCTACTTAGGGAATTCTGTCTTTTTGACATAACTTGGGTTTGACAATGGAAGCGTTCAGCCCACGTAAAGCAGTCTAGATGTGCGGCCCCTTTTATGCTGAATAGCAGTAGCCATGGAATAACTATATCAGTTTGACACCAGTTTTCACTTGGCTGTCAGATTTGATAGTATGTTGATTAATGTTGCGAACTGTCAAAGCTATTCGACGGCTACTACAATTCAACATACAAGCGTTGCACCGTTGGACAGCTTTATGTTGGCTGTACACTCCCAATGTATAATCACATCACGTGATAAACTCTCAATTTCAAAGCCAACTATGACAATATTAGTTTTTTCGACATAACTGTGACAAAATCCAGTATGGCGTCTATAAAAAAATAAACTTGATGATTTGTTTGTTTCGATTATCACCGGAGATACTCGGAATTGCGAAACTTTCTATTTGCTATTTTTTTAGTTATCTAAATGTGCAACTGTGCCCCCATTTAACAGACTTCGTATCTCTTACCGTTTCCAAGATCCCAATGGTGAGCGTCTAATTCTAACACCCGGTATATAGAATACTAGTATAGCAGTCACTCTGATCATTGATCAATCAAATAAGATACCGTACCACGCCATCAATTCAAATGAAAAATTACGTTTCTATATAAACGCACCCGTGATTTGTTTGTTGATTCGCTGGTATCACTACGATACTCCACACGTTCCAAGGTGGACGCCAAATGGAAATTGATCGCTGGTGAAAACAGTGGATGAGTGCATTGCTATTATGTTTTGTATTAGTTTCACCATACCACTAGATAATAATTTCTGTCTAATTATCAGAATATATTATAATCCTTATCCATAAAGGCTATCGTTAACCGCAAATAACTTTAATAAGTGTCAAAAATATGCAAATTTTGTAATGAGTAGCATATGCCCTTCTTCACCAAATGAATTGAGCTGTGTGGCTTGAGAGCTTCTTCAATCTCCAGAAATATTGATATTTTTTTCCAAATAGAAAAGCCATCTGACACAGTCCTAATGGAATAGAAGGATTTTTGAGCATTGCCTCCATATCTGTCACGAAAAAGAAATTTACCGTAGATAAATCTAAGAAGACCAGAAGGTCATGCGTCCACGCGACGTAGTATGTACGGAGCCCCTTCAATAATTCGTCTGGAGCTATCCGCGACATCTATGTTTGTTGAAATTATTTAAAAGCCAAAAACAAGACTTTTCTAGCCGTCGTTTCCCTGAAAAATTGTATGTTTGCCATGGTTTTGTCTTTTGTTTAAAAGATTGGGGATATTTAGGATTCAATCTACAAAAAGATTTGGGCGCTGATACACGTTCACATAAAGTTGCCTCTTGCCGATGATTGATCCCTCTATGAAACATTCATATAGGCGCCCAGGTGTATGGAGCTTCATAGAAATGGGCTTTCTGGGCTCCGCCCTCGTACGCTACGATAGCTACGCGATTCCCTTGGTCTTTATTATTCAACAAGGCCTCAAATCTGAATGGGTCGTGCATGATACTCCCCCCATCATGCTATAACTACCAGCAAATTACGATGAACGTTCGTATGGAATCGATCATGATCATCAAACGCTTGCATTTGGATACAATCTGTATCTACTACACAATTTTCATAGACGGAATCCGTACAACAAATATAAACAAAACGGAAAATCGATTGCTCTACATTTTATAATTTTTCACCATTCACCAAAAAACGCACGTGTATACACGAAACATTTAACAACACATACATACCTGTACATTATTTAAATCGTTCAAAGTCTGTAATTATCAATTATTATTTTTTCTGCGAGTGATCACCGAAAAGAAACGCACTCCGACCAACACATCAAATTGGCGCAAAATACAAAATTGTCATTGGTTGCGTCACAGTCAGTAAAAACAAAGGTATAGTGTTATCTTGGTGCCTATCCACATAGTGAGGAAAGTGAGGTAAAGGCCGACATTGGCAATTATTCATCAATGATCACTGGTCGATATATAAGAAACTTATGATTGTTGAATAATGTTTGAAAAATTGAATCTTGATCATTGCAAGAACTATCATATAACATACTTCTAAGTACCTGGCATATAGTTACTGTTTCTTGCTCGAATTTGATAATAAGAACACGGATTGGGAGATACATGCTCTCATTTGTTGATAGGATGAACTGTTTAAAATAAAAAATTAAAATAAGGGATTGTCGAAAGCTTTCCTCAAATGAGCGATTTTGATAAAGAATAGATATATTACGAGTATTTAAAAGAATAAACTGACACCTAAAATTGAAGGATAGCTAAGACATGATTTATGAAACAAAAATATTTTCATAAAAATAGCTCATTTTATCAACAAAGATGATATTTTCCACCCCGTATCCAAGTATAGAGGATGAAAATTGACAACTGTAGCTGTAGTAGATTTTTACCAACAGAAGGAGGGCAATTTTGATGGCGGTATTTGTTGATATTTAAGTTGTCCTTTTAGTTCGACTTATGTTAAGAAGTTCGGCGACGTGCAAAGCATCAAAGCAGTACGGCTATATGTTTGTATTTAGATGTGCTCTTCTCGTTCTATCTCTGAACAGAAGGTAGACATTTTTTAAATTCGGAGCTATATATAAGGAGGTGTGGGGAAAGTGCTTGTCGTTGAAGGATTTAAAAGTGTTTTCGTTGCTATTCGATCGTACAGTGGTGCTGGAATGTGAATAATTGGCATAATTTCAAAGGTTACTTGTAACTCTATATATACTAATTACATACTTATTATGTATGTATTAATCTTTATTACAATTGATGTAATGCTGGTATAACAAAAGATGCAGTTTTATATCTTCGAAGTCAGGGGTTGGAACTATTCATTTTGTGTTTCTTACAAGATTTTCGACTGTACTGCAAATACGTTCTGTTTTGTTTGAAACTGGCCTAAACCTGCGGCTCCGCCGTGGAAGTACTGCATAGTAAAGAAATGCAATATTCAAAGTAATTCAATAGTAACTTTAGTAATGGACATTGTTCAACATTTTGATGCAACAATAATTTCAAATGTGTAATCATAATAAATAATTTGTGAAGTATCACGGAGACTGTTTGTACATGTATGCTTAGAGTAATGTAACAATTACAATTATACATCACGTTATTTGTATTCGTAGCGTAAATGTACGGTTGTAAATGGATTCCTGTGGCGTTCAATGGTCGCCCAGGGGTTTAGGTTATATGCAAAATAAAACATCTCCATCGCTCGACGGTAACAGGTTGAATGGCGTGGTAGCAGGTTGCGCTGTTGCCGACTCGACGCTGACGGTGGAGGTGCCGGGACAGTTGAATATTGATCATTGAAAATCGACGATGTTTTCGCGTTTAAAACCATGCCTATAACCTTTTTCGGGTATCAAATAGAAAGTGTACAAATGTTTCCGTCTCTCCATATTGAAGTTTAGGCGTGATACTGACAGACTGGACAGACGTTCACATTTAGTTGGAATAAAAAATAGAGTTTCTGAATTTATAATTAGATGATGAATTTCGATAAGTCTTAGTTTGAAGTTGTTGTTTTTTTATGGATTTTAATACCTTATCTCTTAAAATATATAGATCATTCCTGAGAATCAAATTTCACAAACGCATCCAAAAATATTCTCCTATTTTGGCAAATCGAAATCTGAATGAAGATTATTTCTTCTACGACAATATTAGGTGATTGATATTTGACAATAAAATGTGAGCATTTCTGTGCGAGAATAGCAACGACGTTTTGTATAGCATTCCTCAATCTCCAGATAAATGTTCATTGTTGTTCGATGTATTTGGCATGCACAAAAACAACATACTTATATCATTAAATGTACTCTAATATATGTGTCTTTATCGTCGCGTATACCTCAACTGTAAAATTTCACCCAGTACATATTTACACGCATTTTAAACTGCTTTGATGAATGGGAACGGTTTATATATATATTATCGAAAACCTTTGGGATGGTCCCATTATTGAAAAAATTATATCTATCTGTGATTTAATCAAAATTTTTGATGTATATTTTCTCTAAAAATATCTTAAATATTATATAAAATTTAAAAACTAGATGTAGTTATTGATATAAATAACTGAATTATTGAAGATGTTGGAAAATTGATTGTGAAAAAATTTACCAATTACCATCGGTTTTCCAAGTGATATTTTTTTCATTTTTTTTTCATATAACAATGAAGTGCAATTAGATGGTATATACATATATATTTACATCAATATTAAGTAGTAAATAAGATATATTAAATATATTATATATTTGAAAATGGAAGCTATTTTGTTTGAGAGAAAAAAGATTGACTCCAGGTAGAGTTTAAAATGCTTCATTCCCCCTTCAACAACCGTCAGAAATACTACAACCAACCATAACTAAACCGATACCGACAGTTGAATAGGGCTACTCATATGAGAATTATCATTTAAATGACATTTCAATTCTCCTAAATTAACGACACAAAATGTGAAACCGTGAAAAAGCGGTGATACAGCGACTAAGAAAACGTCTAATTTTGCGTTCTTGGATACGTCCTATGGATACGTTAATTGTAGTATGACTACCCACATATCTGGTGTAACGGAAAGGTTCCTTACTTTCTCAGGCCAGGTGTTTTTGAAAAAGGTTATGGTCCGGTCTTTACAAATTTAAGAGATCAAGGTGACCTTGTATTTGACTTAGAGCTTCACATTTAACATTATTGCAAGGTCAACTTTGGTTTTGAAATCAGGAATCGACAGAACAGAAAATTCTACTTCTAAATATGTATTGAAATCCAAGTCAAGGCAACCTCTAAGCGCACTTGAGTGATGCTAGGGAAAATTCCCAGATTAGCAGGATTATTGATGCAAAAAAAATCAAGGTCATACCTTTAGTAACTTTTAACAAGAATATCAATATTGAACTTGGATTTGGCCTTGAATTTCACCTTCGAGTCATAATAGTAAATGGGAACGTTGTTAGAACATAATCTTTTCCATTGTCATTGTCAGAGAGGGGGTTATGAGTTTTAAAAAAATGACATGAAATGACTGAAGGTGTGTTCAAGGTTAAATCCAATGAGTCTGCATCCAGATAGCCAGTCACTTCTTGTTACCAAGCTAGAGAAGACCTAATTTGATTTTTATTGAAAAACTGTATAATCTCTATGTTTTCTATAATACCAACCAAAGGGATAGGCATAATGGGAGCTGGTGGAATTTGAATCCGCATCTCTGGCATTCTGTTGCAGGCGACCTATCAATAAATTGGTCTACAGCGCTGTTGAGTAACTTCCACGCTCGAATTTTAGAGGCAAGTTCAATCTTACCTGTATGGTCTCAGAGATATTTTCCATTAATAATTTTGAGAATATTTTTAAATGTCGAAAAATAGCATCTTATATTAAATGTTACTCGTCACTGGTATTTCCTTGACATTGATGACATGTAATGTGTGAGTTATCAAATTATATTAAACATGAACCAAAGAAGTTTCAATACACGTCGTGTATATTCAGGAGTATTTAAATGATGATTCGCAATATGGCTACCTCCTCAAACCAAACCAGATTTTACAGTAACAGTACACATATTTAAGTTGGACCAAAACCGCAGTATGTTGTATATAAAATGGTATGCTTTTCATACATATCGTTTGAGAACTCAACTGGTTCAGTCCTGCCTTGTAAAGCAAGCGTGTAGAATTGTAGTAGGATGAGAAATCAAAAAGCAAGGCAAGCGCCGAGCTAGAACGGTTCTCAAAATCAAACATTCCAACCATATATGTGCCAGATTTTTTATTCGCAACAATTAGAGAAGGAATAAATTAAACAGATATATGTGATCTCCGGCCCCCTGTGGCGTTTATAGATCATTGGAGTACGTTCTCTAAAAGTTGAAAATGTTTAATTTTGAAGCTAAGAGCTTCCCATGTTCTACTAATTCTAAGATTTTAAAAACACTGTTTTAAATGTTGTGTGTCTCACTTTTTGCTTGCGATGCTTCAGTCGGTTCTGGTCAAACTGGGTGCACCTGTCCTTATTTGATGTAACCTCAGATTTCATATACCTCTGAAGTAACCACTCGCCAAATTTTATGTTCAAATTTAGCAAAAGACAGAACTGGTGCTCCGCAATATGATCAGGAGTTGACGAATATTTTTGGCTTGTAGTGTAAAATGTACCGAAATTCGCGCGAAATTACAACCATGTGTGCCACAATTTCTGTGCAATTTTTTGTTAGTCTTTATTTGAACTTTTACGTTGTGATAATTTGTTATAAAGACACCATTTTTTACACTTCTTCATTTAATGATTTTTCATAAACGTGGTCCAAAATGTAAAATTTACAGTGTAAAGGTAACCTTAAAGTATACGCGTATAAAAATAATATTTTTAAGTACGTAAAATCTCTCTCTCTCTCTCTCTCTAAATAAGTTGCATGTTACAATTATTATAACAAAAAAAAACAAATTGTGTTCGTAAATAAAACTGTTATGCGTTTGTATATGATACGAACGGTAAAATTATTTTTAATGGAAAATATATCGGTATATTGTTGCATTTTCCCATTTTAGAAGTTTGAGATTTTCTATGAGGTAGTTCATTTTAGTACGATTTAACAAATCTTTTTATTTTATTTATATTTTAATGTTTATCGTATTTGTGTTGTACATGTATTTTTTTCATTTAGTTCTACATAAGTTGCGTTATTTGTTAGGCAATATTAAAATGGACTATTCTAGTTGAATACTTTAGTAATTAATTTTTCATATTTGTTTTGCACCCCCAAAGTGTCAGTATTTTGTTTAAAAATAATGGACCAAGGTCTTATTTTATAGATTTAGATAATATCATTCCACAGCTAGCTTTTTCACAACTATAAGACTTCTATAGTTTTATTCCTACATATTTTTTACATACATATAATTTAGTGTTTTTTATATCAAACGTATTTGTTAATTAATTTTTAGTTACTTAGTGCGGTAAGATTTTTACCTACTTAAGTTTTTGCTTTAATTATGTATATACAAGTTTCCAGCACACTTTAATGTTGTGTGCCTGCTGAAGTTGAATTAAAAAACGTTTAAAACTCCAAGCAAGTCAGTTTAGTTTCATTATCACAGTTATTTTCCAGCAACCACAAATAACAATAGTACAATACAATTTCCCCACATTTAACCACTTTGAAGACGGAGCTATTACTTTACCACTGATCAATATGTTAACTAGCATTTCGGTTAGTTCCCAAGCATTTGCTTTTGAGTATACTCGCGTTTTCTTTTTTGACTGCCTTTTTTCCAATATTCTTACACCTTGTGATGAAACACTGTCATTCCAAGACTTCATTCCTTTCTCTTTTATGAGTATTTATACATATTTTATGTTGCCTCATATGTAATTTCCTTACAAGACGCGTGAGCATATTTAGAAGCAATGAATTCTCGATGCAATAACTGTAGGCGTTTTTTATTGATGCAGTTTTTCTGTCATTTTCTGAAAATCGCTTTAGATCAATGGTATACCTATCATTTCCCCACAATTCTGATACATAGTGGTTTCGATGTCTAGTTAGGATCTTCACTCAGTGTTCTCAGCTTGTGGAAAGGTGTACGATAAATCAAGTAAAGATTTTTTTATTTAACGCATAATTTTGACGTTTTCGGTTTTAGAATATCCTGTGGAGGTTAAACCGTTTCGACGTTCACAATTATCTCTTAATAATGGTCTCCTGAAAAAGGAGGACCTGAAAATTAAAAGCCTTGCTGTATTAGGACTACTATGTTTCGGATTACACCTTTTTTGATTGCTGCTTAATACAGCTTCCTTGACAGACTCTCTAACTGCAGAGAGAACGGCACAGTTATACTCACCCTGCTCATATTGTAGATTTTTTGGCATACAGAGTGTATACTTAATAGTCGGTAGTTGATTGTCAAATCTATTGACACTTACAGTACAAGGTTAGATTTAAAGTAACCACTATAGTTTTTCGTGAATGGACACTAATAAAGGTGAAGGCACTTAACTAATTGTAGGATTAAGGACTTAGTATATAAAAATAGCATAGCTTAAATTTAGGGGCTCCTCAATAAATGCTCGTCTTCATTGTGGTAGCAAAAAACAGGTTCAAACAGGTATATCTCGTGGCATATTTCAAAACGGTTACAAAATTTTTGACGACATATATTGTTCATGATTTGTTTTCTTTTCTAATATTAGTGTTTATCGTATTATATCGACTAATTCCAGGAGACACGTGATTATTCAAAAGGTAAACTCTGACAAAGTGTATTGTTTGTGTCAATACCTAATTCAACTCCTGTAACTAGTTTGAATGTTCACATGCGTAGTCTCATCTCGGAATAATAAAATTTTGAAAAATTCAATACATTTCTATAGCACCTATTTTTGCGTAGATCTAAATTTTTAGACAAAAATCCAAGGAAATAGAATTTAACAACGCTGTTGTTCGTTATATACCTACTCAGTGCATCAAAAATCAACCTATTTTTGAGATTAATTGATGTAATTATACTACAAAAGGAGTTTTATTGAAGATTCTTTAAAATTAGTGTGAAATTATTCAATTGTTGAATTTTATTTCCTTTAATTCCAGATATCCTATTTTTGTGCCTTTTTGTATACCTTTAACTTTTCAGAATAAAATATTGTCCTTATTATTAGGAATATCGAGTATTTCAGTTTAGAACATCTCTTTGAAAAGTTTGAAAAATGGTATTTACTATAAGCACCTTTATCAATAGAATACTGAAAGGATTGACGGAAATGAGTTTGAAAAAGTTGTGAAAATCTATTATTACGCTCTGAAAGCCTAATTTTTCATGTTAAAAAATTGAAATTGTTTATGATAAAAAAGGTAGTCTAGTTTAAATTGGGTAAGATTATGTGTTAAGTAGAAGATAAAATTCAACACCAAAAAGTGTCTTCTCACTTAAAAATGATTTTAATGATTTTGTACCTGCAACATTGGTGCATGATTTGACTTTTTGCTTTCTAGTCTTAGTTGAAATTTTTGAAAATTGATAGAGAAAATTGTTGAAATGTAAGAAAAATTGTGATCGGTAGTTAAATCGCTGAAGACTGATAAAGACTTTAGGAATATGCAAAAAATTACCTTTCTTTGATTTGTCTATAAATTATTAATGTATAACATTTTAAAATATGCCATATTCAAAAAAGTTTTTCTGTTGAAGTGTACACTGGGACCAAACATGATACTAATTCATATCCAATATATCAAAGACAGAATATCAAAATAATAGTAAATTTTTGAAGCTCGTTCATAAGTTTGACAAACTTTTTGTAAAATATCTCAAACGTGGTGCAATCTTAATTTAAACATTAATAATATTGTATAAAAAGTTTGTTAAATACACGTGTTTTGTTATTTTCGTGATTGGGTTAAAGCTTCTTTATTGTACAAAACATTTTGTGTTCAAATAAATGCATATTGAAAATATTTGAGGAATATTTTTGAAAATTCGCAAATGCTTTTAATGTGCAGGTGTCTCATATTATTGTGACTATAAATGCCTTTTAGCATGAATATACTATATAAAATTGTATTTTATATGTGAAGGAATAATTTTGGGAAACATAAATTATTCACATATATTTACCCGGCATAACACTCCCAAAATTTCTCCTAAGAAGGAAAACATATTCTTGTTCGTAAAATATCTGTGACTTGTAAAATCATGTTTTATTATAAAAGTTAGATGTTTGAACAATTGCTTTGTGGGAAATTGTTATTTTCAGAAAATATTTTAAACCACAAAAATACAAAAAAATACCATACACATTGTATATTTATAATGTAATTCTGAAGTATACCAGTATTTATTATACTGTGGACTACATTAAAATGTTAATTTGCTGTTTCATTTCTTTCCCACAATATCCGGAATACCTAAGCACACCGCAGTACAATTTATTTATATACACACAAAATAAACGCAACAAGCAAAATTTTTGTCAAATTTGGAACATCATAACTTTTTTACTTTTAACTCGATTTTATTAATTTTTCGGTAGGCGGTCGGTACATTCATTGGCATTAATGTGAAGATATGAGTTCTTGATTGTAGGCATGTTTTGACTTGATGTGCGGGCTAAATCAAAATGATGTTTCATTATTCCAACTTTGAGTCACTCTGTGGTGTGATCCAGTTGCTAATCAGTCCGCAATGCTGTCCATTATTAAGAACCAAATTTTCTCTATAATCTGGTTTTTTATTCACGTCAATATACAGGGTGTCCCGAAAAAAATGTACAATATTCTACCAGCGGTTTTTTGAGCTTGAAATAGGAAGAAAAGTTTATATAAACATAGGTCGACAAATGGCCCTAAGGGCGCTACGATCTTTTAAAGGGGCTCCCCTGAAGATGGTTTTTCGTTAATATTTCCGAAACGTGTTGAGATAAAGACATAAAATTTGGTATTCTACCCTAGTTTTATATGCTGGACTTAAAAATATTAACAATTTTAGACAGTTTTGTTTCTAAGCGTATGTAACAGGGACGGACTTAGGTTATTTTAGCCCCAATATTTTTGTGTGATTCTATTTTTAAAATTCAATTTTAGAATTTGAATAAAAAGGTACTCTTATTGAATATCGATAAATTGTGCCATTTTTTAATAAAATCAAACTAAACAATTTGTCACATGATAGGAAATGTACTGCGAATTTAAATGAATTGTTGAATAATTAGCCATGGCAACGAAAAAACTAATTTAATGATTGGTAAATATTACATAAATACATATTTCTATTGCAACATAGCTAACATTTAGGCAAAAACAACAGAAATAAATTTTTTCTACGAACTTAATTGAAATTTGTTTAAAAAACAAGACATACGGTTGGATATACTTAAAACTAGCTTTACAACAGGTTTTCAAATAAATTCCCATTTTGTTGGATCGACGAACTAATGATTGCGTAGCCCGAAAAGTGGAAAACCTTTTTCTTCTTATTTCATTTGCAGCCTGATGGATTCTTTGAAGTAAATCTTCTTGAGTATTTACTTCAGTCGAGTAAGCTAGGTCTTTTAATGACCCCCAAAAATAGAAATCCAATGGATTTAGGTCAGGTGAACGTAGCGGCCACGCTATAGGATCTCCTCGGCCTAACCACCTGTCTGGAAAATTGACATTCAACCAGTTTCGAACATTGCGTCCAAAATGTGCAGGGGCGCCATCATGTTGAAAAAACATATTTTCTCGAAACAGCTGGCGCACATCCATGAGCTTATTCTAGCTACAATATGCCCAATTACTTGATCCCTAATTACTCCTGACCAGTGATGAATGTTATGGAAATTAAAAGCACCATTTCTAGAAAATAGTGACTCATCCGACCAGAATATTCTAGGAATAGTGTTTTCATTTGCTAATATCCACTGGCAAAACTCGATTCGTGGTAAAAAATCTGCCTCCGTTACATGCTGCTCAGGTTTAAAATGATAAGGATCTAATCTTTGCATTCTTGTCATTCTTCCTATCTAAAATTATTATTTTTAGGATAACTATCAAATAGGTATTCATAAATTTTTCTTACTATTGATCGAGGTATATCCATAATTTCTGAAACATTTCGTATGCTTATCTGCGGATTATTTTCAAACATATTTAAAGCAATATCCATACGATGATTTCCCAGTGGCCTTCTTGAGCCCTGCATGCGCTGAAAACTTCCATGGTTTGACAAATTCCGGTGAATATCAGTAAACATTCGACGTCCAGGTACTATGCGATTGGGAAATCTTCTTTGATATTCTCTTACGGCTGCCAATGAATCGCCATTGCAAAACTCGTACACAAAATGCATGTCAGTCAGTTCTCTGTCTGTAAATCTTGGCATTTTAAATGGATTTAATAAAAATTTTGATTTTAATCTTGTAATTTTACACTGCTAACAATGTCAGCTTGACGTCAAAATAAGTCATAATAAATCAAAACAACTTTTGTTTGCAGTCATGGCTAACTAATCAACAATTCATTTAAATTCGCAGTACATTTCCTATCATGTGACAATTTTTTAGTTTCATTTTATTCAAAAATGGCACAATTTATCGATATTCACCTTGTAGAAAACCCTAAATTTTCAAATTCTAAAATTAAATTTCAAAAATAGAATCACCCAAAAATTTTGGGGCTAAAATAACCTGAGTCCGTCCTTGTTACATACGTTTCCAAACAAAAATGTCTAAAATTGTTAATATTTTTAAGTCCAGCATAAAAACTAGGCTAGAATACCAAATTTTATGTCTTTATCTCAACACGTTTCGGAAATATTAAGGAAAAACCATCTTCAGGGGAGCCCCTTTAAAGACCGTAGCGCCCTTAGGGGGGTTTGTCGACCTATGTTTATATAAACTTTTCTTGCTATTTTAAGCTCTAGAAATCGCTGCACACTTTTTTCGGGACACCCTGTATAGAGTGACTGAGGTGTTAGAGGCAAATGCATATTTTACCACCAATTTTCCTTTCTGCTTTCATAGCTTTTTTAATTCCCGTACGAATTCAAAAAGTTTTTCACCAAATTGTGTACAGAAATCTATTGTCTTTCTGCGTTAGATTCACATTTTTAAATTTCCATTGATACCGTATATCGACAGCGGCAAAGAAAATGAAAACTTTTGACATAATTTAATAATAATTTCACACTACAATTATGAAATAGTGTCAGGGCAATAACCATATATCCCTAATCCCCCAATTTCGTGTTCCTAAAAATTCTAAGGAGGATTGTTCTTTTTTGTAACAAAATAAGCGTAACAATTTACAAATTTTAATCAGTATTATACTCTTCAGATACGCGCCTTCTAGTGGTTCTCGAGTGGAATAATGATTTTAGATAATATTTCCTTCATTGTATGTGAGGAAGCATGATTTAGGCATATTTTGCAGTATACAGAGCAACTTGTTTAGGTAAACGCAACCAAGTGGACCATAAGGTATAACATATTTAGATAAACGCAACCAGAAGAGGACAATAGGATATACCGCTATCCTATAACCTTCCCGAGTGACAACGCGAGTGTTCGCCAATGGTCATCTGCAATACTGTTTCTGTTCGAAAGACAGTACTTTGCATGCGGGCATTCAGAATGTCAAACCTAGCTGTGGAGAAGAAGACTGGCATTGATACAATTAGGAGTTCCTATTTGACACGACGCGAATATTATCACTGATATGTTTCTTAGCGCAACAATTTTACGGCTTTAAAGCCATAGTACTGTATTTTAGCTAACGAAAGGTAGGAGTATAACACAAATAAGTTTCCTCAGTCGAGGCAGAAACTGGGAAAAAGTCTGAGATATCCGTATATATCTTTCCAGTCAGTACAAGTCCCAGGTGAGCTAGGCCAGCAGTATCTGGTTTCCGCTCTGACTACACAGTCCATTCTGAGCAGCGTTTAGTATGGACCGTGTAGTTAGAGCGGAAACATCTCAGATACTACACCGTGACTTTACAGAATGGGAAACATAGTTCAAGGTTTTTTCCCAGCTGCTGTCTCGATTGAGGAGACGTGTTCGTGATAAGTTATAGTAAAGTAAAACTGTTGCATTAACAAGCATAACCTTCGCGTTTTATGCCAAAGAGGAAGTCGCTACCAGTCTTCTTCTCTCAACTCTCCAAAGCTCACTTTGATATTCTGAATGCCCGCACGCAAAGTGATGTCATCCGTGGATCAGCAGTTTTACCGAACAGAAACAGTATTAGAGTCGAGCCTCGGCAAACACTCGTGTCGTCACTATGGGATGGAAAGCACCTCAGAAAGGTCATATTACAGCGGTATATCATACCTGTATGGTCCTCTTGGTTGCGTTTACCAAAACGTTGTTACAAGTTGGTTTTATCCATCGCCTTGATTATGCAGTTTGAAAATGAACCACTCTGTATAATTCTAAATATGCCTAAATCATGCTCCCACACATGCAATGAAGGAGACACTGTCTGAGGAACAATACTCAACCTGAGAACGACCAGAAATCGTCTATCTGAAGAGAATAATACTGATTAACATCTGTGAATTAGTGTGTAACCTGCTCCAAAAGAACAGTCCTCGCTAGAATTTGCAGAAACACGAAATTGGAGGATAAGGTAGATATGAATTGCCCTGAGACTGTATTTCAAAAGGGTAGAGCATGAAATTATTATACAGCGTGTTCTTAATTAAGTTTTCATTTTTCTTCGCGACTGTAGATAAATGGAAGCAATGGCGATATAAAAAAATGAGAACCTGGCACAGAAAGGCAATAGATGTACAAATCGAAGAAAAACTTGAAAACTGAATAATAATAAATGGTCTTTATTCATTATAAATAACTTGAGGAAAAAAATTAAAGAGTAAATGATGAAATGAGTAGTTCAGCCTAAGCTGCTTTTCAACTAAACCCACAAAAAATAACACTCATACAAAATATAGATACATAAAAAACATAATATGCAATACAAAACAAAACTTACGAGAGCATGGCCAATACAGTTTTTATCTGAGCACAATTCATGCAAAAAAGAACAAGATGACTTACAAAGAAACATACTGGGACATTATCCTTCAAAACGTAGCGAGGTTTGATTATACCTTAGGCTCTTGGTCGTGCAGGAGATCAGCTTTTTTCAAAATTGCGGAGGCTCAGATTCTTGAGATCTACTGCCAAGCTGTTATATAGTTCTGCAGCATTGTGTGACAAACTGCGCTTAAACATAGTCGTTGAATGTTTAGGAATAACCACTGGAGGCTGCTTTGAAGCCGTGGGCAGACAAACATTTCGAGCTAGGAAATACACCAGCCTCGAAACACTGAAGAAATCCATTGTCCGTTAGTGGGCCGAATTTTATCGTCAAGTCACATTCGGGCAGCTTGTGATTCATTTTTGGACCGTCTCAATGCTATAGTCAATGCAAAGGGTGGTCATATTGAGCCAATGTGAATCATTTCCGCATTTTCGAATACTTTCACACATTCTGTACTTTGAAATAAACAAAAATCTTTTTCCAAACCGAATTTATGGCATTTTGAGTGCCGGACCCTGTAGAGGCCTGGGCCGTGCGGCGTATGGCAGTCCGGCGTAAGGCGCGCGCCAGATATTGTGTGAAAAGACTCATCTACTCCCATAGCCCAACGCCGCATCGGCCGGCGGGCGCCGGATCGTGTGAAATGGTCGTAAGACCGGTGCTCTTGTCGCTCCACATCAACAAATCTTCTAGCCTGGACTAGATTCCTGCCATTTTACTGAAGAGGTGTGCAGCGGAGCTTACTCCAGTTCTCTCGCATCTCTTCCAAATATCTTATGAATCTACAAAACTGAAAATGTCCAACCCATCCCAAAAAAAAGGATCTAAGACCGACCCTTTCAACTACAGGCTTATAACTCTGCTATCTGTTATAAGTAACGTGATGGAGAGGTGCAAAAATGGCGAGCTTCTGGACTACCTCGAATGTCATGGCTTGATTAGCGATAGGCAATATGGTTTCCAGCACCAGCGATCCACAGAGGAACTCCTAGCTTACGTCACGCAATTGTGGAGTAAGCTCATCCCGTCTTATGGTGAGGCTCACTTTTCTATGGCCGCGAGATATCCGTCGTAATTGACGGGTTCTCCTCTTCATCCCACAACATCAACGTGGTTGTTCCCCAGGGATCGGTCTTGGCTTCGACACTGATTTCCTTTACGGCAAACCGAATCCACAGCTTCGCTGATGTCATCACTCTATATGCAGAAATTCAGAGTGACAAGCCGATCTCTTTTTTTTCATACCGAAGCAGCTGCGCAGGCAGAAGCCTAAATGCTGGGACACTTCGGCTGCTATGAGGACTTTGTATAAAATGAATGTAAACATCCAAAATAAATATCTATAACCATCGCCAGTCGTTAGTACAATAATTGTAGGACGCCATTATGGCCTCCTTCATTTTCATAGTTTTCAATGGTTCTGTGTCGGCGCTCTATTTTGAGGTTATGTAATAAATCTACTTGCATCAGATTGTTCATGCTTTTGATTTATATCACTTGTATATCAGCCAGAAATTCCTACAGTTCAAAAAGAAAACATAGCCTCACAATAGGTAAGTGCTGACGCTGACACGGAACAGTAGTAATCTAGAAATTCCCCAGCCTTTCTAAATCAAACTATAAAAATCAAGGAGGCCATAAAGGCATCCTACAATTCTAGGAACGACTGACGATACGGCCCTTAGGGATATTGGAAGCACTGTAAACCCGTTCTGTCCGTCTGTGACTACCCTCTCACCATTGGTGCCTGATTGAACAAACACAGATTCCACATTCCTGATTGATCAGGATCATTCATCATTCGCTTACCGTTCAGTTTCATTATTATATCGCTCGCTGTGCCGTTCAGCTTCCGTCTCGATTCATAATCAAGCACTATGAAGGGTCTCCAGTTTCATTACCAGCACGAGAAGTATTATAGTATCCGCGGTCCTTATTGAATTTGAGATTTTTTTATAATTGTTCATGTAACTAAACGACGACAATCTATAGGAAGCGGTATGCTAGGAGATTATAAAATAATTCTCCTATATTTTTCAAAATAGTTCGTTGAAATTGAAAATGAGATGAAAAAGCATTTTTACGAGTTGATGAATTAACTAAAAAATGCTTGACTGCTCAAAAATGTTGAAACTGGTTAATTTGCCTGTAGGACTTATTAATGTTGTCCTATCAGCTCGTATACAGTGTGCTCTGCAAAGGAAACAGCATACCAGTGGAATGTAACTAAATTCATTATTATAACCAAATTTTGCATATTGTAACAAGAATAAATAGTACGGTTGGCGCCATCTTCATGGCTATGTGGCTGTCCAGAATGTTCTCGACCCACGTTGCGGACTATACGTATAACTCGACGGCCGGGAGAGGAAAGCAGAGTGCAGAGGGTACAGTAGGTTAGAGTAGTTTGGAGTTCAGTCAATGGCGCGACATAAGAATTAGTCAGACATAAATAGTCGTGTACATAAATGTCCACTCTAATCAAGTAAAATAAATTAGTGCATTTCTTTTTGTGGAATCCAGTGTTTTAATCCACACCCAAAAGAACCCAGAAAAACGCTACAATGTCATACTTCCCAGATCCCTAGAAGTACCTAACCCAAGGCGGGTCGGATGACTTGAAAATCATGTTCGGACACAAACTCTTGAATTTTTTAAATGTTAACACCATAAAATCTGTGCACAATAAAAGCCAATAAGTATCGAGTGCGCTTCATCTTTTTTGTGTTTTTTTTTAGTTAAAAAATTTATTTCATCTGTATTCACATATTATGTATTTTGCTTATTCCTTTGACTTTTTGTGGTATTTCATTTTTTTCCTATTAAAATAACATACTTACTTGATAATTTTTTAAAATCGCTCGGAATACGAATACGAATACGAATAGAAATGTGTTCTTTGATATGAGAAACATGAATGCTTGGAATGCACTAAAGCCAACTATTTGACCTAATTTATCTAATTTTAGTGTTGGTTGTCGTCTGATATCAGAATGAGGCGTGATACCTTTGACAGTTTTCTTTCTAAATAGAATAAATGAATCATTTCAGAAATAACAACAAATAACAGCGCACATGTTCTGAGATAATAAGAAAAAACTGACTGATGTTCTTGAGTGTTTATTATTAGTATTTTAGCATAGCTCATTTAGTACAATAGGTCGATATCAAGAAGTAACTGAGTACCTAAATATTCTAAAGGCTCGAGCTCATTATGGCGGGCCGCACTGCACTACAACATATAACAATAATCTTACTAAATCACTTTCTATATTTTATGTATAAAATATAGATATGTATATCAACGGTATAATGTAATGTATAATAATATATAACGTATTTTCGTGCATTTAAGTGATTTAGGAAGAATATTGTTATACGCGCCATCTTAAAAACACTAGTAGTGATAATCGCAACGCGACGTGTACGAGTATATACTGATTTATTAACAAGCAGGCAATATAACGGCCTACAAGCTAAAATAAAGGAATTATCTCCTCTTGCCGGGTATGTTCCCTGTTCAGCACACTCACTCAATTTAGTAGGTGAATGTGCAGCTGAAAGCAGCCAAGAGGCTTGTTCGTTCTTTTCTCTACTCCAAGAGTTGTATCATTTCTTTGTAGCATCAAATCAGCGTTGGTAGCTCCTCCAAGCCCATTTCACAGTCAAAAGTCGTTGGTCAGCTCGTGCAGACGCATGCAAACGTTTATGCGATTCGTGGAATGAAATCCATAAAGCGAAGTTTAGAGTTAGTTATATGCGAAGGAAGAGGTATTCGTGTGAAATTGGAATGTTTTGAAACGGCCATCATCACTACGTTTTGGGGATGTTTACTTGATCGTATTAACGCCACAAGTAAAAAAACTTCAGAATGTGGAAATTCACATTACCATTGTCGTAGAACTGTATGAGGTACTAATACATTTTATTGGTGAAACACCAGATAACTTGGATGATTTGCACAGCTATTTGAAAGAGATGATCGACGCAATCGTAAGCTACTTCATAGCGAAACTAATACAGGTGAAGAGATGCAACAAAAGAACGGTCGCGAAAATTTCAGAATCACCACTTTTTTGGTAATAATTGATACATTGTCAGAAGAGCTCAAAAAATTACGTGATGACTCTACAATAAATTTAATTTTATTACTAACTTGACGAAACTAAGCGCGTCTGAAGTCGAATAAAAGGCCAAAGCACTGCAAATGGTTTATTCTACTGACATAGAAGACAACTTTTCAGAAGAATGTATCCATTTTCGTGCTCACTGCGGTGTAAAAAATGAGGATCGAGAAAGTGCTAGCAATTTGTTGAAATGATTACGAACCAAAGGTCAAGCCATTTTCCCAACCGTGGATATTGCTCTTCGTGTATGTGTGTGAACACCCGCCAGTAACTGTTCCGGAGAACGATCGTTTTCTTGTTTGCAACGAGTTAAGAATTATTTGCGCACGGAGCAAAGGCTGAACGATCTTGCTTTGCTTAACATACAATCAGATTTTTTTAGGAATTGGATTGTGAAGACTTAATGATTTTGCTGTGTTTATGTCTAGACGAGTTTTGTAACATTGTGAAATACTTATTTTTTATTGTATGAGAATGAACCTATAGTTAAACTAGTTGAATAAATAAACTCTAAAGCCGTTTTACTGTTTTGTTTAGGAAGGTATCACAAACTAGCAACTATCATCATCACTTGATTAAATTTCTGAATTAACTTGAATCGAAGTTGGCAATAAAGTACGTTATGGAGTCTATATAATGATTACTGAGAAAGGGGCGGTTACCTGGTCTCGGGCCTAGAGCGGCCAAGACTGGAAATCCGCCACTGCACATCGACTTAGGTGGTTTCTGCGTTAAACAAACTGTAACTAAAAATGTTTCTGATGTTCTTTCAATAGAACGAACCGTTCCGAGAATCAAACTAAGCATATTACTTCATAAGTAACTATAAACGTCGGCCACTCCAAAAGTACTGGGCATCTTCATTTTCATCCACATATGATATAAATATGCAGCATTTTTTTATAAGAAATGGAAATATTTCCGTCGCCGATGGCAGGATCTGCTGGCAAATCAATAGCCATCACTCCTGGCAGAAGCATGTGAAACGTGTGTTCTGCAAGCCCACCAGTATAGTCTCTCGCAAGATTAACACGTTTCCCGCGCCAAAATAGTAAGATATTGAAATGCTGCCTTCCACTATTAATAGCGAACTTACACTAATAATGACAAGTATAGACTGATCTTAAAATTGTTTCAGAATTGGAGTTATTAGGTACCTTTATATTTACACTCTTTCCTGCGGGATTGGAACGCCCCCTTCCAATCACGCGAATTCTCGCCAGGCCAAGGGTAGAGCGTCCTAATAAGAATTGACTTAAGGCTCGGCAAAACCAATGCGCACAGCTCGCGTCCGCGATGGCGTGGACGGTGGCGATCAGTTATTGTGTACAAACTTTTAGGGACGTGTTCACATCGATCCGTCGTCTGATTGGCCGCAGCATCTGCACGTGGCGTTAGCGATCAGATCGCGCTTGTTGCGTTAGGTCGCTGCACGCAGCTACTATTTGTTGAAAAAATCTATGTTTTTTACATTAGTATGGTGGAAACGGAAGAAATTATAAACGAGGTCCACAAATACCCATTGTTGTATCTCATTCTGATTATAATATTAGAAAAAAGGGCCACGTGTGGGATGAAATAGGAAGGATACTCGAAATAAGTCGTAAGTAATATGTTTATTTAACAGGTGGCTACGATGAAAAATACACTATGATAAAACAGTATTTATTCGGTTTCTAAGTAAAGTAACATAATATATTCAATATACGAGTTTCTATACACAGGCTTATGGATTGAAACATCTGACATATTGTTCACGAATATTGAAAGCATTGTTAGTGCTTCTATGAGTATGATTTATATTTTGCAGTGCTGTGAAGGCATTTGCCTGTTCAGTTATTGGTGGCAAAAGAGTGTTGTCATAATGTACATTTTGGCTGTTTAATCTCAAATAATTGTGCAAAATACATGCAGCTTTTACAGTTATAGTAAGCGTTGACCTTTTTGCATCCATGGGCCTTTCGAAAATTCACCATTTTTGTGCTAGTATTCCGGAAGCATTTTCGACTACTCGCCGTGCTCTACAGAGTCGTTTATTATAATTCGTTAATCTGAGGTCATATCTTGATTGCCAATATGGGAAAGGGCGCATCAACTATGGGCTTAAAGCAAATGCTTCATGTCCTATTAGTACACAAGGAAGTGATTCCTGGCAACCAGGTAATGGTCTGTTTGATGGGACATTCATTGTTCTTTGTTCTAAGCGACGTCCTACAGCTGATTCTTCGAAAATACGACCATCGCTTTTTTTCCGTATGCCAAAACATCAATTGTGATAAATTTATAATTTGGTTCTACTTTTGCCACTAGAACTATTGAAAACTTCTTTAAATATGAGAAATGATCAGAACATCTTTGGACATTTTATGGTTTTATGATAATGGCGCCCAAGCAATTTGGAAATCCTCAAAAAATTATTGTAGTCTCCCACATTTCTTCTGACGGCTCAGGCATATATACTGGTTGAAATTTATACCAAATAACTGTGCACACTTCTCTTATAATAGAGCTAACAGTAGAAAACCCGACTATGTGCGACAGTTTTGTAGGTATCTCCGGTAGCCTAACTACTTGTAACAAACATTTATTTTTACTTATTATTTACACGTGACGATTTAAAAATGAGATGGAAAAGCCTAAAAGACTGTAATACGAAGCACCTAAGATCCGAACAAACTCACACAGGGCAAAAGGCAAATCAACTGGATCGGTTCAGAGCTTGGCCATGGACAAATCAAATGTCCATGTTCAAGCGTTTTCTCCAATTAACCCCCCCGGATTCAAACTACAAATTGCAACGGCTTATCGCACGGTTTGAGTGTGTGGTGTGAAACGGTATAGGATAAAAGTGCTAATTGCTATTGAAATTTTCAACAGTTTTCAAGGCGATTTTTATTTTCATAATGATAAAATAAAAAAATAAAAACGGAAAATAAGAGCAGCTTTGTGTTTGATTGTGTATCTAAATATTCGAAATAAGAGACAAAGACAGTGTTGGGTGATAGCATGGTTGGAAAATCACAACAGATATGGATATTTGCCTCTGATCCATAAGTTGCGTGATAATTTTCCCATGGATTTTAGAAATTATTTGAGAATGGATTCTGAATCATTTGGAATATTGTTGGATTTGGTTTCTCCAATGATTTCTAAACAAGACACAAAATTGCGTGAAAGCATAAGTTCTTTTATTTAAGGTAGGCTTGAAGGCAGTTGGACTTTGTTGGACGTGTATGAGATGTTAAAGGCACTTGTGATGAAACATTTGCAGATTTCTGAAAAAACATTATTTTAGCTTCCATCTACGCAGCAGGATTGGCTGGAAGTGGCAAATGGATTTGAAAAACAAAATGGCAATTTATAAACTGTGGAGGAGCTCTGGATTTCAAGCATATTCGCATTTTACCTCCTCATTCAGGAGCACAATACTATAACTATAAAAATTGTTATAGTATCATTTTAATAGCCCTCGTCAATGCTAACTACGAATTTTATCACATTAATACATGGTAAGTTGTTATACGTAATTTTAAATAATATCATTTTGTGGTTTTAGGCCAATTACATTTGCCAAATAACACAGAGACAAAAAACAATTTCAATTTTGTATTTTTGGGCGATGAAGCGTTTTCTTTACATGAAAACTTTTTAAAACCCTATCCTCAAAGAGATCTTTCTTAGAGTAAAATAATTTTTGACTATAGACTATCACGAGCGAGAAATATTTCGGAAAATGCATTTGGCCTGATAGCGGCAAGGTTTGGAATGCTGCATACACCAATACATATGAAGAACCTGAAAACATGTTACGTTGTACTTACTATTTGTTCTCTTCACAATTTTCTTAAGAAGCGTGATACATCTTATACGACATCAACATCATTTGATCAAGAAAATCTGATAACTAAAGAGTTACAGATGGGTGATTGGAGAAACAATGCAGTTAATACGAAAAAATTCGAAAGGTTTAACAAAAAAGTAGCTACCATAGTTGCTAAAACTAATCGAGATAATTATACAAGTTATTTCAATTCAGATGGAAAAGTTGATTGGCAGCATGAAATGTTGGCCAAAGGAAAAGCTTAAAGTATTTTTTTTTTGTTTTCAATCAAGTTCTTCTTCAGTAGAGTGATTGGAATTTTCTGTTCCTTCATCTTCAATGTTGCAAATGCTTTGGGTTGGTAGTTCCTGATCAATAGTACACTGGAGTAAGTCGAAATACCATAATGTGGGAGTAAAAATTTCATCTGTACTAGCTCCACTTCGTTTGGAATCCTCTATCTTTTTTAATTCCTTCTGAAAAGAACCACGAAAACTTTATATTTTCTTCACAACATAATCTCGATTGGCTTCTGGATATAATTTTGTACAAAATTAGACTAAATTGTCGTAAGTAGCATTTTTAAAATTTCTGTTTGTATATTCTCGGGATTTGATTTTCCATAATCATGGATAAGATTTATAGGTATATTTCAATAGACTCTGAAAACAACTTCTTTCGGCCAATATCGTGAATCTGCCATATTACCTACCTAACAATTAGGTACCTTTACACCGGGTTTACATGCAGCCACTGCCGCTACCGTTCCACACCACACACTCAAACCGTGCCATAAGCCATTGCAATTTTTAACACAATTCGCGCGAGAATTCGAGTGATTGGAACGGGGCGTTCTAATCCCGCAGGAAAGAGTGTAAATCTAAAGGTACCTAATTAGGTGGTTGTTGGGTCGTCGTCGTCGAGTGCATTTTCGTGCACGGATGACAAAATTTCTAACCTTAAAATATTGGGATAAAATAAACTTTTATCTTGTTTAAAAGTGTACCAAGACTGATTTAATTCCAACAATCTTATTAATTATAAAGTTTTGCTATTGTTTTAGTACTTCTTCGTGTTTTACAAATCGTTGGAGGTAAATATCATTCTTTTTAGTTCGAATTTTACGGTCAAACGGTTCATAATTTTCACCAATTAAACTTACAAAATCGGCGAACACTACAAAAAACGAGGAAACGACAAAGGAAACTACTTTCCGTATATAATTTCTTTTATCTGCGAAGACTACTATAAAAAGTAATGTATTTTAAACGTCCTGTAATAGTGACAGGCACTAACTTTATTAATTTCAAGTCATATTTTTGTTTTACTGCGCTTAAGAAAGCTTAAAATCTGGACATGCTGGACTGAGAGTTCAACAACCAGGTGCAGTTGTAGCGCATTCTGGCAAACCTAATGAAGGTCGAACACAGCCTTACAGTTGCAATTTTGATGATGTTGTGCCGTTTGCTGGACCAAGTGCGTGTAGTTATTAAATAACATAAAAGACAACGATTACTATTTGATAAACTTTATTAGTTTTCACATTCCAAAGATATCTTAGATTGAATGAACCCGAATTATTTTTTATTGCTCTCCATTCAAGAGGATCTTGCAAGATTATGATACGGATTTATTACCTGGAGATTTTGATATTTTAAATACGACCGTTTCGGAAATAAATTCTAATTATGTAATTTATGTGTTTAATATTTGTTAATAGCTAATTAACAGCTTCGTTAGGGTAGCTGTAAGTAGAATTACATTGTTTTGGGATCGTCATTTCTTTATTTTTGGTTTGTTCCTACCTTATAAAAATATATCTCACATATAGATATCAGCCACCATTTGTTCATTTTGTCTCACCACCTTGAACATTTTTCTGGTGAGTATCAAATGAGTCATCCACATTTATGCTTGTAACTGTCACCTTGTGTTGATCTTCAAACGAGATTTTGTAAGATTGCAATAAAGTTTTGTCAGGTGGAAATTTGGATATTTTAAAGACAACTGTCTATGAAATAAAATCTATGATGCTTGATAGTAGCTAGTTAACATCTTTGTTATCTGTAAATCGTGTTGCATAGTTTTCGATAGTAAAATTTTAGTGTTTTAGCTAAGGGCTGTTGAGACCTCATTTACTCCTCGCTGGGACAAACATGGGTGCTAGGTCGCCGCTTGTTCGCTTGTCTTGCCTGTTTAGGCTGGCCAATGAGAGTGCACGGTTTTAAATATAATAAATATAAAATATTGAGGTGGGCAATGATCCCTCATGACTCTTTTAAATCTCCTTATTTGACACACTTAAAAAATGATGTAAAATGTTATTTACAAAAAAAACACTGAGGTTTTTCATTGGATCACATATCCAAAGCAACTATAAGGCCTTTTTTGTAAAATATCTTTTTCAAAATTTGGCGGGAGTACCCTAGCAAGCTCACTTTAACCCCTCTACCATGGGAGCGCCACTGTCACCTATAATAAACTTATTAATAAATAAAATAAATTCATTACACTCAGGCACATAAGACGACAGAATTCCAAGGCCCACATTTAATGTCGATAATTTCATTGTCCTCAAATGACCTCATTTTAAGAAATGTGCTAAATGACTCTTGTTCACAATACTTTATCTGTTTATATTTGTTCCATCCACAACCATACAGCTGATTATTATCTGAAAATAAAGTATTATTTGTATTTTAACTTTGTATCCTTATTTGAGTTCTAAAAAAGATTTGAATAAAATTTTTGCCAATTAGGTCTGAAGCTGATAATCAACATTTCAGAAAGAAAGGTAAGATCATGATAATATATTTTTTTTAATATTTTACATGTGCCAACATTTTTTTTATATAATTTTACTCACCTAGTAGAATTATGGTGTGTCTACTACCACAAGCAACTTTTAAAACAGTTAGTCCAAACTCCGCTGGCGTAGGAGTGGCTATAACTTGGTGCTGATTTTCTGTTTTATCGCAGATACCCAACTGTCCACTACCATTCCAACCCCAAGTGTATAGGTCACCATCTTTGGTAACTGCACATGAGTGCCAACCACCAGCAGATATTTGAATGATGTTGAGACCTGCTAAAGCTTCCACTTGGAGTGGTTCTCGCTCATCATCAAGGGTAGTATGACCAAGCTGACCACGACTAAAAATATTGATAATTTGTATATATTGATAATTTGTATATTGCGCATTTACAAAATGTTTTAGATAATCAAGTCTACACTGAGAATAACCATATAATTGTGAAATGAAAGTTAAGTTCAAATATGAAATATTACAAGATTAGAAAAACTATAATAATTTACCAGTGTAAAGTATAAAAAGAGAATTACTATACTGAATCTATAAGAATTGGCGATTACTTCAAGTCAAGACAGAAATTGAAAGAAATAAGAAGTCGAAAAAAAAACTATGAGAGCAGACTATCAAAACAAATGCAATAATGCAAAAGCAAAATCACCAGATATTTCAAAATCTATAGCGAAACATGAAAGCAATGTCGCAACCAAGCTCACGCAATACGCACAAATGTGCACAAAGGCATATATGAAAAATCTCAAGAAGGAATTGACAATTACTTCAAATCAAAATGAACTGATTGAATTGAACTGAGACATAAATTACTATATCAAAAGTGAGTTTTACTTATACGCCAGAGGTTTCAAGAGTTTATCAATACGCATAGATTTGCAACTAGGCGGAAAGCATATATGACAAGTCTCAAGAAGAAAATAAAATGCATATGAAGAAAACACTTTCAATTAAAGAAACTGTGGATAGTACAAGACCCTCAAAGGCATACATCGCAACGAATCTATGTAACTATCCAGACTACAAAATACTGTCAAAGTTCAAAACCACTCAAAAATATGTGAACAAACATCAAAAGTTTGAACCAAAAATCAATGTAAGTCTGTGCTCTCGAAGAAATTTATAATGAATTCAAAAAGAGGATACTATCAAAAACTTCAAAAGTAATAGACTTCAAAAATAGAGGTACGTAAGTATGTAAAAGAAATTCAGAAAATATGCGCAGAAAAACATTATAAAATATTATACACAGTACACAATTTAAATTTTGAGTACACTCAGAAAAATGAAATATTCAAAAGATGAAGTATACACATTAAATTGGAATCAGAAAAATAATTATAACTTGTAAATTTTGTAAATGGTGGACTGACGTAATAGTTCAAAAGGTTGAAAGAGCAGCGATGACAAAGTAAATATTAAACTGCCTTTTACAGGAAATTAGCTTAACAATTATCAAAGGAAATTCTTATCCGTTCGCATCTGTACTAGGAAATAAATATAGGAAAACCTACTCGCTCCAATGTACAGATCGAAAACCTCGCCCCCTTCGATTGAGTGGAAATATGAGTATTGGACTGGTTGTAATATTTCAAAAGGTTGAAGGATCAACGATGTTAAATGTCCAAAGTAAACATTCAGCTGGCTCTTACAGCAAATAAGTTTAATCATTATCAAAGGAAATTCTTGTCCGTTCGCATCTGTACTAGGAAATAAATATAGGAAAACCTACTCGCTCCAATGTACAGATCGAAAAACTCGCCCCCTTCGATTGAGCGAAAATACACTTGAAAGAAGAAAAATTAAAGTTAAAAACCTGAATACGTCAAGAAATAAGGATTCAAAACAGTATAAAAAACTAACAATACAAACAAAAAGTTTCAATACAAAAATAGGAGCAGTCAAATCTTAAAAAAAATTATTTTATATCTGACATACATTAAAAAGGTACAGAGACGTTCAAGTCCTGTTAATCCAATGGAAAATCAGACACTAATGTTCTAATTTCCCCCAAAGAATATGCCAGATAAAACTATAAAACATTAAAATTATGAAAACTTATGCTCCAAACAAAATTACTACAATAGTTACTGAGGAACGTATACTATTTCAACAACAAGTTGAAATTTAATTATCATAAATGAGTATGTGTGTCTTTGTATAGGTAAAAATGATTTAGGAGTCACCCCCCTCATTGAAAAGTAGCAAAAAAATATAGTCAAGAAAAACATCATTTGTTTCTTGAAAAAAAAGTAAGGTAAGTATCAACGCACTATGTCCAAGTGTCAATAATTGAAAAAAGTAAACCGCCAAAATATACGAAAAATTATGAATATCAATTTCATACAATTCAGACAAATGGATAAATCGCAAAATGATTTACTCCAGATAACTCTAGTCAGTAGATTATTGCCATCAGAATGAAAACAAATGATCAAAAGTTGAAGTACAGTCAAAAATTCAACAAGTAAAAACATTTGGGGAGGGCAAAGATAATTTTGAAAGTAAATTTCCTACGTACCAAACATCATGAGAGCTATATCAGTACACCAGAGATCCAACAATCAGGCTATATATGCATACATGAAAAGTCTCAAGAAATCAAAAAAACTGCACATGAAGAAATACTTTCAAAAACTAAGAGGTTGGTGATCAAAAATCAAAAGCATATTATAAGAATATATAAACTATCAACAACAATAGTCACAACCTCAATCAAAAGTTTGATGATATTCGACAAAATGCTGGGAAACCTAAAGTCCCCAGACTATCAATATTCACCAAAAAATTATCAAAATATCATCGATCTCAAAACTACAATGAGAAAAAAGTTGTAACTGTCCCCAGCAGTAAATAAAAACTATAGTAGTATGTGAGAAAAAAAATTCTGGCAATGATCTCGCTGACTACTAAACAAGACAATTTAAAAGTTAATAGAGCATAGTATGCCTATGAAATATGTTAAATAGGTGGAAAAATTTTAATCTTTTGATAAAAATTTTAAACATTAAGCAAAAAGTAAGGATGATTAAAGAATTAGAAATTTGAGTACCAAAAGCAATTAAAAATAGAAATGCTGCCAAAAATTGTAAAGAATTTTGAAAACTATGTTCTGTCTGCCAATCTTCCACTAGCAAACCACTTGTCGACAAAGCCAAACACCAATCGAAGCCCCACGTTGCGGGTGCCAATTTATGTTAAACCTTCGTTTCCGCAAAAAGTCCAGAAAAGATGGAATGCAATGAAGATTCCAACTTTTCTGCACAATCACAGAAAGGGGGTTACCATTAGCTTCCGGTAGCTCAATCGGTGGCATGAAGACATCTACAGGCGTGTAGCTGTGTGTCGACCATGGCATGGCTAGAGGATAGAAGAACAAACAGAACACAAAAATTTAACAGGTGGAAAAATTTTAATCTTTTGATAAAAATTTTAAACATTAAGCAACAAGTAAGGATGATTAAAGAATTAGAAATGTGAGTACCAAAAGCAATTAAAAATAGAAATGCTGCCAAAAATTGTAAAGAATTTTGAAAACTATGTTCTGTCTGCCAATCTTCCACTAGCAAACCACTTGTCGACAAAGCCAAACACCAATCGAAGCCCCACGTTGCGGGTGCCAATTTATGTTAAACCTTCGTTTCCGCAAAAAGTCCAGAAAAGATAGAATGCAATGAAGATTCCAACTTTTCTGCACAATCACAGAAAGGGGGTTACCATTAGCTTCCGGTAGCTCAATCGGTGGCATGAAGACATCTACAGGCGTGTAGCTGTGTGTCGACCATGGCATGGCTAGAGGATAGAAGAACAAACAGAACACAAAAATTTAACAGATTATATTTAACTTGAAAAGCATTTTATTACATTTGAAATTGAAATTTTAAAGAACAAAATGGAAGATTTAAATCTTTGGCGCTGTTACAAAATTATCAACTTATCTTTCGCTAAGCTGGTCCATTTTGACTGGACTGAAGCGAGGATGGCCAGGCGCTTCAAGTGGAGGTCCCAGTTATGAGGAGTGACCTCACATTTAGTGGCTTCAAAACTAGTTGTAGGCGAAGGATGCAGTGAAGTTGAGCTTAAAGGTGATGGTGCTGCCAAGGCACATGCATGGGTGAAGTGATAGGCCAAGCAATGCAAAGTCAAAGACAAAGGCAAAGTCAAAGGCAAAAGTCAAAGACAAAGGCAAAGGGAAAGGGGGTGGCCCCAATCATTTTATCCTATTTGGACACACATTTTACAAAATGTTAGCACATGGTGCTATATGACATGCTACAGAGAACAAAATTCTCAGCTCTTGTTAGATCGGCGGCTCAAGTGAAAAGGAAAAGTGAGGAAGATCACAGATCAGGAACTGCGCATCAAGCGCGCTCCAAGCGGAAATGTTTCCAAGTAAAAAAGCTAGAGATGGGATTAATGAGTTGTGATTCTGAAATGAAAATCGAGAAGTGATTTAATAAATACAATCGGACGGTGAAACGGTTACAACCTTTGTTTTTTAATTGCTTATAATTGACTTATCATGTTTATTAAAAGTTGAGTGAGCTAACATACAGGATCAGTGAGGTGCCCCATTTAATGTGTATGAGAGACAAACACCTATTATAAAGCAGAATAGCAGAATGTAATTGCTTAGCTGCTGCTCAAGGTCCACTCAGAGATGACTCAGAACACTTTTAAAATTCCTTTGTTAGACAGGCCTCATGTTTTGTAACCAAATTTTTAAAATATGTGCGAGTTATAAACAAATTCCTTTGTAGTTCCTTTATGGTCAATATGTTATTTTTTTGTCTAAGCACTGCACCAGTTTTCATTAATTTTATAATATAGTTATATGATGTCTCATAATTACCTGCCTTGTCCAAATGTATATACTGTCCCTTTGCTATCTAGTATCAAACAATGTTCTCTGCCACACTGAATGTCAATAATATCAGGAATTTGAAAGTGAAGCTTTTCAAAGGTATTAAATAAATTTCCTGTATTTGTGTACAATACCACTAATTTTGAGCCACAAGTACCATTCTTGATTTCTTCAGAACCCATTGGTATTTCTTTGTGTGGGACTAGGTCTCTATCAAGATCTTTGAAATCAATTTTATGTACTTTGTGGCACTGATCAATGATGAGCAGTCTATCATTATTGCAGCACAATTTCAAAATACCACTATCAATTTCCTTTGTTACATTTTTGGGATGAATTTGGAACACGTTGTCACTTATTTGTAGAAAGGATAATGAATAGCTCATACAAATATCCTTTATACCAATTCCTGTATATACTTCAGTGAATTCTTCTAAAACTGTTTGGGCCTTATCAAACTGTTTATA